TGTCACCGACACCCCTTCCTGCCGAAAGAACACTGTCCCATTAAAGTCCCGCAAGAAGGTATCCCACACGGCAAGGTCGGCCCTCATGGCGGACGATACCCGGATGAAATGGCGTGGGGATTGCACCCCCGCCGTAGCTGCCGACAGGCTGCGGCTAAAACCCCTACCCATCGGGATTACCCGGCAAGCGAAATTCAACATCCCGATCAACGACTGCAGCTGCCGCAGGGTGACTTTCCTCGCCCGCGCTACTGCTGCCACCGACCCTTTCAGCCCTTGCAGCTTTGCCAGCGGCAGCCGACATTCGCCCCGCACCGAGTCAATCTCCAGCCCCAGGAAACTAAGGCACACTGTCGGGCCTTCCGTTTTATCCGCTGCAAAGGGACCCCGAAGCACCCAGCGACCCACTCAATAGTCCGCAGCAAACGCTGGCAAGCAGGAGTGCTTGCCGGCCCCACGCAGAAGAAGTCATCCAAATAGTGCACCACTGATCCATTCCCTGCCTCCACCCGTACCACCCATTCGAGGAAAGTGCTGAACTTCTCAAAGTATGAGCACGAGATGGAACAGCCCATGGGGAGGCACAAGTCCACAAAGTATGCCCCTTCAAAGAAACACCCCAGAAGGTGGTGACATGCCGGGTGGACCGGAAGCAGCCGAAATGCTGCCTCAATGTCCACCTTTGCCATCAGCGCCCCGCGCCCGGCCTTCTTAACCAGCTCGTCCGCCCGGTCGAATGATGCATATGAGACCGAGCACAACTCTTTGTCGATATCATCATTCACCGACGCTCCCTTGGGGTAGGAGAGGTGGTGGATGAGCCTGAACTTCCCCGGCTCCTTCTTGGGTACCACCCCGAGCTGGGAAACCCTAAGGCCTTCCAACGGCGGTGTCGAGAATGGGCCCGCCATCCTACCCAATAAAACTTCCTTTTCTAATTTCTCCCGCACCACCCCCGGGAACTCCGCCACCGACTTAAGGTTGCGCCGCACCCCAGATCCCCCCCTGTCCCGGAACGGGATAAAAAACCCTTGCCCAAAGCCCGCCCGTAGCAACTCGGCGTCTGCCCTGATACCGTAGCGGCTTAGCCATGGCTCCATCGCATCTAGCCTCACCGGGGTTAAGCCCCGGGGCAGAGGAGACCCCTCCTCCCCCCCCAACCGTAGCAGCGACTCCGGTATGTCCTGACTTCCCCTTTTTGAAGCATCGGTTAAGCCCGTGTGTGCCCCTGCAGCCGGAGCACTCGTGCTTAAAACGACAGGTGTTCCCCCATTTGCACTGGCCTTCTTTGAAGAGCCAGCATAAGCCCTTTTGCAAGGCGGCCGACGAGGCGGACTGCCCCTTTGCGCCGGCCGTGTGCTGAAAGGGCTGCGCCTTCTGCGCCATCATCAATTTCATCCAGAGGGGCAGGTCCATTTGGTCCCATCTCATACCCGGATTAGCCGCCAAGCGCTGCCGGAACTGCTCATCATACCGCCACCACGCCAGCCAGCCGTAGGTGCGGTATGCCTCCCAAATTCCGTCTAAATAGCAAAACAGGGAGGAGCACGATTCCGGCGATTTCTCACCTAGGACACTGGCCAGGACGCAGAACGCCCTTAGCCAGTTGCCAAAAGATTTCGGTATCTTACGATACCGCTTCTTTTTCTCCTCCTCCTCTTTTTTCTCGTCTTTCTTATCTTCCTCCTTGAGGTCTATAAACTCCTGTAAGGGGAGAAGGGAAAAGATTTCACAGAATAGCCCTTCCAGATCTTGTCTTTCACCTCCTGTTTGAGGTGCACCCCGAGCGGACCAGCGAACGACACGTATGCGTGCTGTCTGGCCGCATCAGGGACCCCCCCACCAGTCAACTCCGCCCGCTCACTCGCTGCGTCCGCCCTGCTGCCAGCCGCTCCCGAATCCCCGTTCGAACTCGGTTTTGCAGAGATAACACCCGTGGCCCCTGTCCCCTGTGCCCACACCTGACCTACACCGCCACCCGTGTCACCCCCCGCTCCCAGCGAGTGGAGAAGTGTTTGTAGTGTGTGAATCAATGTACTGGATTGCAACGAGGCACAGGACTCACCGGCCAAGCCCCCCGGTCTCCGAGCGCTGGGGGCTGCGTTGTCCACTGTAATCCGTCCGGGAGGAGTGACCTCCGTTAACGCCCCGCCGACCGGGGAGCCAACCCGGTGCCCAGCTAACACAGAAGATGACCGGCTCCGAGACCTGTAACGAGGAGAAGATGTCCTGGGTAGGGTGTAACGATCCCCTGTCACCCTCTCACCCCGACCCGGGGAGCGCCTGCCCTTCACCAAAGCCTCCCTCCGTGTGGTGCCCGTAGTCCGTGCTCCAGAGGCCTGGATGGCCCCGCCCCGTGGGCTACGACTCCTTCCCCCCCAGCGTTCGGTCCGCCCCCGCCGACCATGCCTGGGGCCCCTGACCCTGCTCCTGTCCGACCCCTCAGAGGTGGAACTGTCCTGTCTTGACCTACCCCTAGCTCCCCCAGCTCCCTGATCCCTAACTGGGGATGGGCTAATGCTGCTAGACCCCGAGCTAGACCCCCCCCTCCTGCCACTGCGCCCCAGCACCTGCCTGTCCACCCGGGCCAACCCCCCACCCCCACCTTGACGGGCTCCCCGGCCTTCAACACCCCCTTTATCCAGCCTAGCCACTGCCTGATCAGCTAACCCCCCTGCTCCCAGGGGCCCCGACTGCCCCACAGGCCCAGGCCCACCCCTAATCCCAGAGGGAGACCCCCTGTCTAATCTTGTAGCACTGAGGGACCCCTTAGGTGCCCCTGACCTCTTCCCCCTCACTACCCGCCCCTTCTCCAGTACCACTGAACTACCCTGGGCACCGCCCACGACCCCCCTCCTATCCCCTAGTAACCCTAGAGTGGCCGGCCTAGTACCCCCCATCCCTCCGTCTCCACTACCCCCAGGCAACTCCTTCCCAGCACCCAGCACGCCAAGAGAGCCCCTGGCGGGGCCCCCTGCACTTGCCTGTCTGTCCTGGGGCCTGCCGGACGGCTTCACGGTTCCGGCCCCGCCTGTTGCATCCGCTGACCTCCTGGTCGTCCTCCTGGGCTGCGGCCCCACGTGGTCCATCACTCCAGGGGGCCCGGCCGGTGCCGCGGCCCCCGCTCCTGGCGCGGCCCCCTCCGACCTGGGAGCCGGACCGCCGCCGTCACGGGCAGCCGCCCGCCGCGCAGCTTGTCCCCAAGGCCACGGTAGCGCGCTGGGAGGCGGGGCCTCGACCGCGCTGCTACCGGGCCTGCTGCGGCCTCCTCCCGCCGCCATGCGCCCGCTGGGTCCAGCTTCACCGGGCCCCACGCCCGGGCTCAGCCTCCGCGGCGGCCTCCTGGCCCGCACTGGACGATCCTGCGCGCCCTCCTGGGCCGCCATTCCCGCCAGGGCCGGTCCGAGTTGGGCCCGCAACCAATCCGCTCCATGACCTCGCGCTGCTGACCGGATCCCCTCCAGCAGCCTCTCCACTTCGTCCATGGCCCTGCAGAAATGACAAGAAGGGAAAAAAGGGGCCCTACCTAACCCAATCTGCACACACAGAAGTGCACACAAACTCAGTCAGGTAGGAAATTAGAAGTGAGCTCACTTAAAATGGCTGCCTATTTAAATAGCACAGCCTACTTACCCATAACTCCATACTTCCTTCCCTCCTCCTATGCCCGCCTCCTAACCCCTGTCAAGGCCCTTTTTTCGCTTAGCTGTGCTTTGGCTGCATGGGGCTACAGCACTAGAGGTATTACTAGGCAGCAATGTAAACACTGCCTTTTCTCTGAAAGGGCAGCCAAGCTATAGACACCAGAACCACTACATCTGAAGACTTGTCCTGCCCCCTCCCTTCTGTAATACATTATGTAGAATATATATATATATATACATCTCTCTCTCTATATATATATATATATATGACATATGTACAAAACCTTGTGCTTCTACGGATTGATTTACCTTTTACCCTGCAGTGTGTTGATCTTGCTACAGCTGATGCTCCTCACCTGGCTGAGATCATTACTACTGATAATCTCATGCCCCCTATATTGAAGCATCGGGGAGGCTGCTGCTCACGCGTGGCAATATCCACTCTGCGCCAATCAGCATCCTTCCAAAGAGACGCTTTAACTCTATCTCTGCCTTCGGGATCGTTTGGTGTCTTCATGCAGTGTGTTAACACACCAAACATTGCTTCCTGCACACCAGGAAGAATACAGTTTAGAATTTTCAATTTTAGGGAAACGTGGATTTCTTGCATTGCTTTCCGTGAGAAGGCTCCACGGAAGCTGTGTGCATGTGCGCCTGACCTGGCTTTTGGTAGTAGCTTAGTTATGAAAATAATGAATGAAGCTACTCACACATGTTAAAGGAAACGTTGTGACAGCCATCCTCAAGCTATACAGCTGATATATAAGAGTATATAGGATATTCACAGCAATCCCACTGAAAACAAGACCACTACCTTCCACAATTACTGCAGGCATTGGGGGTGGCAGTAACTGTGTGTCTTTTAGATATTTTACTATTTTTACTCATTCTCTATAAATAAACACAATTTGGAGTGCTTCCACTTTGTATAAAATATAACTTCTAAAATAAAAATAAAAATATATATATATATATATTTAAACTATTATTAAAGTAATCTACCCTGGAATTATTATTATCGATATTAGTATTATCAGAGTATTTATTGATCCACATGATAATTCCATATTCTGTCATTCCACAGGGAACGCTGCGACTTCCGCCACATCTTCCTTTGATCACACACTCACACAGGACATCAGTCACAATGCATCATTATGTACACAAATAACCTGGGTCCCATTGTACTATGCATCCCAGAGTAAATAAACAAAAGAATGCCAGGAACCCTTAATATGGAAAGGTCATGGGAATATGGTCCTGTGAAGTACAATGGGCCACATTGCACCTTTAAAATCTTATCATTCCCTCCTTGTCTCTTACATTTTTGCTGTTTCCCATAGAAGGATATAGTAAGATAGCTCCCTCCTATTCCCCACCCCTTTATTTGTGTCTCAAAGCTTCTGGTTAGACTCTGCTTCTGTCAGAACAAGCGCAGGAACTGAGGAGAGAGGTTTGTCGCAGGAGCCAGTAGGGTTAGGAGGGAGAATCTGCATCAGACTGGGGGTGAGACCATATTAGACAGGGATGCTGGTCATCAGTCCTGAGATGCTCTGATACATGTTGCAAGATAACCAGAGGACAGCTTCACTTGTTCAGAGATCACAAGTACATCTGGTGAGTATTGAACTGAACATTTCAATATATAGAACCATGAAGCTTTCAACATTCTCTGCTGTTTGTAAAATTGATACACACAGTGAATGACAATATTATATTGTATAAAGAGACCTTTCTCAGGTATCTAATATTGTTTGTTACACCTGCTTGAAAATGATTTATTATTTAAGGATTTCACACCCCTGCTGCACACTGGGTTTACGATGGGTGAAGCAATTTGACATACTAATACACTTGTGGAGTTATTCAATAAAAAGTAAATTGACATTTGCAATGTATTTATTAATTCAAAATAATGGGGACTGATCTGGAGATTTCCCCCAAAATAGTTGAACATGTTGTGGTTTGAATTTTTAAATTTGATTATCAGCTCTCCAAAGTGTACTGCTTAGTGACTCAAACCTTTAGGGAGCAAGTGATCTGAGAAGGCATTTTATAGCTCCAATTCTGATGAGCGTTACCACTTCTGTAAATCCTGAGCATAGTGTGAATAGTAGTTCATGGGAATTGTAGTCACTGAGCAACATTTTATTCGCAGGAAAATGATAACTAGTTATATTTATCATTTGTCCTACCAATGACACGTTTCTATAGTAAATTGTCATAGAATTATATATTAGAAAATAGAGATAACATCCATTTTTTACATGCTATATTTTACTGCGATATGTGCACTTATCTTGGGTTTTTAGCTCAGAATTTTCCGTTAAAGCCTGTGGTCATGTCTAATCATACTCTATCTCCAGACATAGAATCCACCCACTAATGGATTTCTATCCAAACCACAGAAGAATTTCAATCTGGTCAGTTCACAAGTTCTAGGCATTTCTGAATATTTTAAACGGCCATATCCGGACCGTCATAATTAACTCTAATATTATAGAGAGATTGGAGGTAGGATATAGAATATGCTATTCCATTTACACCATGATGTGGGCTCCTATTTATTTCATCATCATTTAAATTTGTTGTTGTTTAGTTATCACTTATTTTTTTCATTTTTTAAAATATTAATGTTAAAGTTTATGAAAAATAAACCAAAGACAACTACCTTCATCAGCAGAAATTTTTAGTTTAAAAGAAAACTATAGTCACCAAAACAACTACAGCTTAAGGTATATGTTCTGGTGAGTATAATAAATTCCTTCAGGCTTTTTGCTGTAAACACTGTCTTTTCAGAGAAAATGCTGTGTTTACATCCTAGTGATAACTTCACTGACCACTCCTTAGATGGCTGCTATAGGTGCTTCCTGGGGTAGTGCTGCACAGTGAGCAGCATTGCCATTCAGTGTCTCCACCCTCTGCATGCAGACACTGATGCAGACACTGATGCTGATTGGCCAGAGATGTGTTTGGCTTGTGCTGGCTCTGCCCCTGATCTGCCTACTTGACAGTCTCAGCCAATCCTTTGTGAAAGCTTTGTGATTGTGTCAGAACAACACTTCTGATGATGTTAGCCAAGCAGGCAGATCAGGGGCAGAGCCAGCAGCTGCAGACTTGAACAAAAGTAAGATTTTACTATATCTAGGGACTCAAGGGGGGATTAGGGGTGCTAGATGGTGGTTAAAACACCATAGGATCAGGTATACATGCTTGTGTTCATGACCCTATAGTGTTCCTTTAACAATCTAACCACTGAAAGAGTGCTACTGCATCAATATCTGGGTGCCATAGGTTGATGCCCCTGGTTTCAGTCGCTTTCCGCTCTAGAGGATTTTGAGATTCTACAACTGGAGTGCCAAAAGTCAGTAATTATTAATTGTTTTGAGGAAACCACCAACATAATTCACAGTGCAGTACAATTGGTAAACAAAATATACAAGTTTATAATGATAAATTTGGGTGACTTTGAGGTGTGTGAAAGATTGACCTGGTCACTTTAACAACTTGCACTGGACTCCGGTTCAACTCCTCTACAAGAGAGCTTTTATAACCATGTTTTCCCCTCCATGTTGTGCCAGGACTTTACCGGACATAAGGGAGCCTAGCTTTTTGGCCCAGCTAGCCCCCACAGGTTTTCAAGACACTCCTTGGGCTGACAGGAACACAGAGTCATGATAAAGCTGTACACAAGATTGGGAGAATGCCACAATCTGGTTAAACTTCTAGTGCATGGGTCCTCAAACTCCGGCCCCCCCACATGTTGCTAAACTACAACTCCCATGATTCTCTAGCTATCTATGTAATTCAAAGAATCATGGGAGTTGTAGTTCAGCAACATCTGCGGGGCCGGAATTTGAGGGCCCATGGTGTATTGGGTATTGCTCGGTACCAGGACCTCTGACCTAAGCGCTATTTGGAGCAGAGGTCAGGGAAGTGATGACGCATCCAGCGACGCCAACGACTTGAAGGAGCTCTCTTTTACAGGGCTCCAAGAAGCCGATATTTGAGACCATGACATGGAACAAAACAATCTGGAACTCTGTGTCATATTAGAGGATGGTCGATGCCCAGCCAACTTGCAACTGGTAATTACTCAGCCTAGACACCTTCGACCCGATCACTTTTTGGACAGCTTGAACCTCTAAACCACAACTCTTCAGGGATGTATAGCTTTGGGGATAACTTATTGGAACTCTGTTTTGGGGACAATGTTCTAATGTGTCCTGGTGTCTAGTTTTTAATTCAGTTATCCTGCCTTTGATTGAATTATGACCCAGACACCAAGGTGCCGGGGTGGGATTGCATTGTTTGGTTTGATGACTCACTACTCTAGCTGATCTGATCCAGAGGGGAAATTTTAATACCTGGCAGAGATACTCAGTCTGTGTATAGGAGCTCTGGCACAAGGTGTTTAAAACCTTGTTCAATGAGCTTACACCCTGAATATAGAAGTAAGGGATAGCCACACAACTGGACAGAACAGAACTAATTTTATTTAGTTCACTCGGGAACATTATAATTGTATTGCACAGCAATCAAAATTAGCCAAACTGTTACTATAGCAGAGTTGGAGATTTTTTCCAATTCGGCCGTCTAAAAGATCCAGTCTAAATGATGCTGTATGATTTTCATTTTGTAAGAAAATTCAGAAGCTAAAAGGCACTGTTTCCCTTAAGGGCTGCTAATGGGCAGATAATTTACATTTTATTGAACAGCGAAACCAGTTTTCCATAAGAGTCCATTAACCTTACAACAATTTGGGGGGATTTGAGAGCCACCTGGCATATGGGCCCTGGCTTCTCTCTCAAAAGGTAGGGAGGATGGGTAAACATAAATAAAAACAATTTTTAAAAAATAATAATTTGTGAGTGTGTGTAAGAGAATGAGTATGTGTCTGTCAGTGAAGGTGTGTCTGTCAGTGAATATGTGTGTCTGTCAGTGTGTGTCAAATCAGTGAGTGTGTCTGTCTTTAAGTGTGTGTGTTAGTCATTGAATATGTGTGTCTGTCAGTGTGTGTCAATTCAGTGAGTGTGTCTGTCAGTGTCCTCTGTATTTAAGAGTGAGTGTGTGTCAATATCCTCTGTGTGTAACAATTACATTTTCATTTTGTGACTTTTATACTTCAGATTAATATTTCATACACTCCTCCTTACATACACAATATTCACATTATGTCTTATTTATTTGAATAATATTCTTTACTGCCTTTAATCAGGCTTGCTCTCCAATATGGACTAAACTTAACTATAAGTGTCTACACCTTTTATTTTAAATTTAAATCAATAGAAATTACTTTTTCAAAGGCGGAGGTTCTTGGGAATTTTGGTTTAGACCTGCAGGCACCAACTGATGTAGAACAACAAATTGTACCTTGTCAGTCTTTTAACTGGTGAAGCATTATGGGGGTTGTAGTTCTTCAAGAGCTGGGGTGATCTACCTGCAATTTCTGCCGTGTTGCTCTCAATCTTTAAATGTGGAGCAATCACCATGGAAACCAATATAATGCTCCTACTGAAAACTCTACTTTTAGAATGTTGAATACGTAATCCTCGTTGTGACCTGTAAGAGACTATACTTTGTGGGCATTTCAGATCAGGAACAAAACGTTATTGTGCATTTGTAAAATATTACAGAAGTAAAAAAAAAAAATAACTGACAATGTCTGCTAACATATGATAACTGAATAGAATAAATAAATAAATACATTAAATCTCAAGCTGCTTTCATTTCCTTCCTTTTTTAATTGATTGTAGCAGACCTTTGGATCCTGTTTCCCTTGTAGGCGTCGAACAATGACAGCATCTGTTTAGTATATGTGTTGTACTTTGACACTTTCCCTTTAAAAAAGATTTTATAACCTAAAGCAAATTCTACTAACTTAAATGCCAGATATCTATAGCAGTGGAACGGTGGTAATGTAATGTTATGAGAAGCTATTTTTGGATTGTCCATGCTCTGGGAAAATTCTTCGAGATAAGTGTTTATTTGAATTCTGTCAACACTGTTCGAGCAGTTTATTATGTATTTCTTTTATCTAAATATTACTCGTTATTTGTGATTCTGCTTTGAGGTCCTCCTTCAGCTTCAGCATTCTTCTTGTGGAGGTGAAAAACACCATTATATATACGTACACCCAAATAAAAACATCTGAGAGCAAGAGAGAGTCTGGAAAACTGGAACCTACTGTATTATTTACATATCCATACAAGTATATTGTGCGCTTGCTATCACAGTTGATACGGAATGCAATTCCTAGCACCTTTAGGCAAACATTGACCCATAAATACACATAAACACTACCCAGACCAACATACACACGCAAAAACACCCAGGTTGACACCAGAGAGGCATTAAGATCCCACAGGGCCTTAGGTAGGTCAACAATTTGGCCTCCCTCTTCATTCTTCACATAAGGATTGTAAATGTGGCCAGGTAAATTTATGATTCCAAGGTCCCTGTCTAACCTTTGGGCCCCAGATGTTCTGTAGATAGGCAGTGTGTGCAGTGTAAGGCTCCCCCCCCCCTCCTCTCAGGTAGATCCCATGCCCTCATTAAGGATCTACCTGAGGGGGTGGAGGGTAGAGAAGCACAAATTGCCTATCTACAAAGCACCTGGGCGGTCCGCAGCCCCCAGGATCCGCGCTTTCGCCTAGGGTCACCTTGTTGTTGATGCTGCTCTGATTGACACAGACTGAATTACTTAGACTGAGATGTTGAAAAACACACATACTAGCACACAGACTGAACCCACTATGATACTCACTGACACACAAACTAGCACTCCCACCACACAGAAAATGAGGCTGTGTGAAGATGGCAGTAAACATATATTAAGTGACATTTATACCCACCTACAGCTGGAGAAAGGAGAATGGCTGAGGCACTGCATACATTCAGCATATTTAATGTACCTTAAATGAGCGTCAAAATAGCATTGCTCTGTGTGTGGACTACACTCCTTCCCCATTTGTGGATTTGCAGGGCAGCTAGCTCCTTAAATAATAAATTAAACAATTTATGAGGAATATGTCATCTCTGTGAATTTTAGGGTTTGGAAACAGAATCTGCCTGTTTAAATAACAGATCATATAACACACACATATTTATATACCCATAATATTTATAAATGTCTGTGTGGTATACATGATCTATACAGAGTGCACACATACACACACACGTTTATATATCTATAATCAGAGGCGTAACTAGAAAATTGCCTTGGGGCTCCCTCATATGTCTACCCCTCGCCGCCACCCCCTCCCCCATAAGTTCCCACACACACATGCAGACAAACAGATACACATGCAGACACACACATACACACACACACAGAGACCCACACAGACAGATACACACACATACATACAGACACACACACACATACATACAGACAGACACACAGATAGACAGACCCACACACATACAGAGAAACATTCATACAGACACACATACACAAACACACACATATACAGACACCTACAAACAGACACACATACAAAATGTTTTAGTCACCCTCCTGTTTCCTATCTTTTAGGTGCAGAAGGGTTACTCTCCCTGGGGTCCAGTGGTTCAGCCTGATGGGAGTCAGAGTTTCCACTCTGACTCCCTCTTCTCCTTCCTCTTTCTGCTTGGTTGATGGGAAGAAGTGACCGGGGCTGTCACTTCCTCCCAGCATCTGACATCATAACAGGAGGCAGCGCCGCAACGCTGACCGGGCCCCCTGGAAATTCATTGCCATCGGGAGGCCCTAACAGCATGGGCCACCGGAAGGAGCCCCTTTAATGCGGCCCCGGCGGTTATACCGCGCAGGCTGGGACCCACCCAGTCTCAATTCCTTAAAAAAATAAAATAAATCACTAAAAACTCGCTTCTCTAAAAAGGTAGATAACAGCTTCCCCTTCCCACACTTCACTAACCCACCTTGCTTCCTCGCCTGCTGCGGTGTCATCTAACGCATAAAATTTTTATAAAGACGTACCACAGAACCTACTCTTTCCATACATGAAATGCATCTCTCCATAACCTCTTGTGTCACTTTACCCCACCCCCCTTAAAATGTAAGCTTGTGTGAGCAGGACCCTTCAGCACCTTCTGTTCCTGTGCGTCCAACTTGTCTTGTTGCAACTACTTGTTTGTTAGTCCACCTGTTGCACAGCGCTGTGGAATATGTTGGTGACTTATAAATAGTTATAATACATACAGATCAACAGAGACACTATGGTAGGGATATGTAGTAGGCTAGTTAGAATTCATTATTTTCACATGGATGATTAAAATGCTCTTAATAGCGTTAATGTAGGTTAAAAATGATCATTTGACTTATATTACAAAATGTTTTGTTTTTTTTAAATAATTCACTTCATAATTATAATAAATATTTTTAATAATAATGTACAGCTGAACATTCTAGATTTCTAATCATTTTTCTGTGTCTTTTACTTAGGTTGGAGTATCGGTATACTTTCTAAACACATTCTCCAGTACAAAGCACTGTCTTCTTATAATCCCGCCAGTGTGCTAACACAAGACACCGTCCTCCCCAGCTGTAAATGGGGATTGTATAGTGCACCAGTATTGCCTGATCACTCTCTCTGAGGATGGAGATGCTACGACGCTCCTCTGTCTTTGCTGCTGAAGTTTTTGAGGCCTTTGACAGATTTCCCACCGATAAAGAACTTGTTTCACAGGGAAAGGCGCTATGTAGAGACTTTATACAGGCCCGGCTTCAACGAGCTGGTCTGGGATGGAGCAAGCAGGAGCATGGGATGTCCTCCACGTCTGCAGGACGTATGTCTGAAGTATCAGCCACTTTCTTAAGATTGGGTTAGTATCGATAGATAATATCTATTTGATTTCTCTGTTTTACCCATATTCTTTTTATATTCCTAAAGGAAACAGTTCCTTTGTATGTGATTTTGAAGATATTAAAAAATATTGGATTGCTTGACACATAGCTGTATAACAGATTTCACTTATATTAGCACTTAATTATCCTGGCACTGTAAATCTGTGTGGTCCACATGGTGTAGGATAATGTTGGGCAAACACTTGCAACACGGCATCCAAACTTAAACTGACAATAAATTTCGTTTTTTGGAGAACTAGAAAATGTGTCTCTTTCTTGAGGTCCATATAGTCAGTCAACGTGGCGGTTAATGCATTTCTTTGAGGTCCCAAGATTTTGGATGTGAAGGAGCAAGCTAATTACTGTAAATTACAGTATAATGTGATCATAATCAGGTTGTCTGATATTGATTCGTAGTGCCAACAGTATATAGAAGGCAAACCAGCATGGACTTTTTGGGAGAGTTTATTGTAAATAGCACAACCATAAGTGTCACAAAACACTGATAAGTGACAAGTGGTTTCTTAGCCAACAGCTTTAGGAGAGTGATAACTGTGCACAGGATGTGACAAGCTGTACTGTACATAGCCACCCACGGTGTCAAAATGGCAGGCTTTATTCTGAAACATCTGGCATTTCCGAGTAACAGTCTCTTTATTAAGATATCTTTTTTTTTCTTGGTTACAAAGTATTCCCAGAAATATCTTCCTCCTGTTTTCATGTCCAGTAATATGTATGCGACAAGTCAGTTTTTATAGAATTACTAATTTAAGGAGTTTCTTCAATAAAAAAAAAAAAAAAAATGGGAGTATATATGCCTAATGATACATGCAGCTGCCAAATATGATTCATCCAAATTAATTTACATTTATTTCAGTGTCACCAAGAGAACCATTCATTTATAAGCATCAGAATGGTTTAGAGGACAAATCAAATCATGAGCAGATGTCCTGAATATTGATTAGTGAAAATGAAAATATTTGATCTCACTTGTGTAGATCTATTCAGTGATAAATAATGGGATTAAAGTCTGAGTTTATAATGCTTTTAGCATAATGTGACATTTTCGCTTTTTTAATTTTTTTAATTTATTTTTTAAGTTTATACATGAACATCGGGGCTAAGCGCAGCTACGGTTTAACTGAATCTTGCTTTTTAGCCAAAATCTGTTATGACTTTATCAATATCTCCAGTCCTAACACAACATGTTTTACCAACCTGTAAATGGGGATATTGTGCAATATTGTTTTTTTATGCTGTACGTCTTATATCTCTGCTCTATACTCAAGAACTTCAAATTTCATCTTATCTGAGAAATGAAATTCTGAATAAATGAAATGTTTGTTGTGAGAGCTAGCTTCAACTGGGTTTATAGAAGTGCAGTAGAACCCATTGCTTTGTACTGTTATCAGGTGACTCCATGCATCTAATTATTCTGTACCTATTGCTGCATTGCAGGAGATGAGCTGGAATACATGAGACCAGCTGTTTATAGGAACATTGCCCGGCAGCTCAACATCTCCCTCACCTCCGAGACAGTGCTGTCTGACGCATTCCTAGCAGTTGCAGCTGAGATATTCACAGCAGGTAGTCACAAAAGGACTGCAGCGCTAGCTGAGACCAGATTACATACTGCTTCTGTACGGCATTCCTGTTATATTCATCACTTTCAGAAACAAGTGTACATACCCTGGTACAGCATGACTTCACTCTGTAATGCTTAAAGGGTTTCTCCAACCCTTTTTCAGTTTTGATAGAATAATGCCATATTTGTATTATTTTATCGCTCCCCCAGCATTTTAATAAAAACAAGTTGAGAGCTGGAGAACTGTCAGGGCAGTTGCAGTTCTTAGGCCCTAATAGCTAGGCATGGAAATATAAAGGAGTGGCTGACTATTTATCCAGTTTGGCTATAAAGGACCAGAATTTGCAATTTCCATGGTTAATTCTCAAAAACTCCAGTTTTTCATTTTTATGCAATTGGTAACAAAACATCCTATAATAATGGAGGTTATACCAGACTGTAGGTTTTTTAATTATTATTTTTCCAGTTAATATGCATGGGCATTTTCAAACGTGCAGATGCACCAATCGATAGAAACAGACAGGGTTTTATTTTTATTTACTAAATGGTGGATTGTGATTCCAGTGACTAAGTTCAGACACCAATAGCCGACTCTGAAAAAATTGTCCAATTCAGACACTCTAAAGATTCTTTCTCCAACTCAACTATTATGGCCTAGATGTATTTGTTGTCATATCAATACTCTAGTGTGGCTAGTGAGTAAACGATTAAATTATATGATCTGTGTTAAATAAATCAAAAAATAGATATCATAGTGCTCTATAGTGACATTTTAGAGTTTCAGAATAGGTTAGAGCACTTCAAAATAGACTTATAACATGTTGGCATAACTGTTATTACTGTTCATTTTGGGAATAATGTGGAAACACACAATTGTGTTGGAGCAGATGTGACACCATGTGTCTACTCATTTATTAGGTACAAGCTACATTCATGTGACAATTAAACGTGACCCTCTGTTTTGCAGGTATTACTTGGGGAAAGGTGGTGTCCTTATATGCAGTGGCAGCAGGCCTAGCTGTAGACTGTGTCAAACAATCCCAGCCTGCATTTGTTCTGACGATAGTGGACTGTTTGGGGGAGTTTGTGCGCAAGACTCTGGTCACATGGCTGAAGAGAAGAGGAGGTTGGGTAAGAACTTTATTCAGCACTTTTTACATTTCTAATAAACGCATTATGTGGTTTCACAACACATCAATAATAGCTGTTGGTTTGAATTGTGCTAATTGTACACTGTCCTCACTCTTATGAGCAGTTAACTTAATTTTGCCTGCATCAACAACTGCAGTCTGACTGTACATTCACTTTCCAATATGACAGTCATTCTTGTCTGACTGCATCTCCACTCATTAACGTGACAGTCATTCCAGTCTAACCTTACCTCCACTTACTAAAACAGCAGGCTCGGGGTGCCCAAAGGATAGATTCCCAAATATTTTAAAACTACAACTACCATGATGCTTTGCCATTCTAAACGCATACCAAAAACATGCAAAACATAATGGGGGTTGTAATTCTACGACATCTACATTTTGGGCACTCCTGCAGTAGGCTATATGTCTTTTCAAAGCCATTAGCTATATGCTTAGTGTGTTCTTAAGCCATGTGTCTACACTTTTATTTTACTGCCAATCCAGCATATTACCATTCAGTATCACCCACTGCTTTGTCACTACACCTCCACCCTTGCTACTGATCTTGTTCCAAATCCCACGGCCATCTGTCACTGCCTTTCTGTGCCCCTTCTGTGCGCCAAGCTAATGAAAGCCTACACACGTGCACACGTTCTGCATAATGTTTACCTTTGAAGGATAGTAAGGGAAGTGTGTGTTTGCCACCCACTGTAGCTGCCAGTTAGACAGACCAACCATTGATATCTAACTTTTTTTTTTTTTACCGTAAGACAAGGAAGACAGACTCCCAGCATGCAAAGCACCATCGTTATGTGATTTCTTGTCCTCTTCTCAACACCGTCTGTTTTTAGGCTTCCTGTCCATGAATGGTCCCTATAGTATTAAAACACATGGAGACACAATCACAGCATATTGAACTGAAGAACTCTAAATTCAAGTAAATCTTAAGCCGGATTAAGGAACCGTTGACGTAGTTCAGATACACAGAATTAATTGGTAAAAAAGAACCCAGCTTTCTGGTTTCCTGATAACATTGAGATTATTTAGCTCTATTTACTTAAGGTCACTTGCTAGCGAGATGTTAATAATAGAATATTGTTTCAGAGGGATAATACGTCTTCCTGTAATTTATTCCCAAGTGAATTTCTTTATATTTAATTTTATAAAGTACACCCATAAATACAAGGAACCCTTTAAAAACTTGTTCAACTAAACAAATAAACACAAATCCACTGCAGATGATTTCAAAAAAGAAAGTAGAACTTCAGTATAAGGAGTGCACGTTCACAGTGAGAGGAGTGAATTTAAAGGGGGACTATTACTTCTCATGACTTTAATATTATGCTTACTTATTACTTATTGCTTATATTTAACAAATGTGTTTGTGAGGCATGACAAATAAGATCAAATATTAAAATCAACACTTCTTTATCCTGCATCTGAGTGCTTCCATCAGAAATTTTGGGGCTCCTTACACAGTTTAAGGCCTGCACCCTTGGAGCTTGCTGCCAAGTTGTCCTACAGGGCTCACCCCTGAATTCACAAGGATGAGTAAAGTGGATGCAGTGTTTTTGTATAGTGGATGCAGTCTGTGTTTGTGTGTATTGGATGTGGAGTGTAGACAATGTAGTTTGTATATGCAGTGGATGCAGTGTGCACCTGTAGTGGATGCAGTGTGTGCATGTAGTGGATGTAGTGTGTGCGTAGAGTGGATGCAGTGTGTGCATGTAGTGGATGCAGTTTGTGCGTGTAGTGGATGCAGTGTGCGCGTAAAGTGGATTCAGTTTGTGCGTGTAGTGGATGCAGTGTGCGCGTAAAGTGGATGCAGTGTGCGCATGTACTGCATGCAGTGTGCTCGTGTAATGGATGCAGTGTGTGCGTGTAGAAGGATGCAGCGTGTGTATAGTGGATGTGCAGTGTGTGTTTGTGTTAATTTGTGCAGTTGGAAAGGGGCTGTGGGAGGTGAGCAATTTTACAAAATTTTAAAATTTATAATCCAGTTTATACATTTCTCCCTACCTCTTACCTGTGGCCAGTAGGGGGGGACACTAGATTCTTGGGCGGTTTGGTGTCACAGTAGGTTGTATACTGAAGAGGGGGCCCAGGAGTCTCCATCTTCCCCCTGCGACATGCGGCAGGTCCTTTCCCTCTCTCGCAAACCCGGTATGCGTGTAGTGTGGAGCGTTGCCCTGGCTTCCCACAGCAACACTCTGACAGCTGGGGTTCGCAAGATGACACTGCCAGAGGTGGAACATGGGCTCCCTCTTCAGTATGCACGCCAAATATATATGTACATATACACAATGGGGGTATAGGGCAAACAGCTCTATTGGCTATACCCTCCTGATGGTGGCCCTGGCCATTTGCAACTGCCAGTTGGCACAGAGAATGCATAAAGTTTGCCCTGGGAGTATGAGGCCAGAACGCCTGCCCTCCTTGACCTCTTTCTTTGCTCCAACTAAGGGAGTGACGTCAGCCATGGAAGATCAGGCTGCAGGGAGGAGAACTTGGTCTTTGTGTTGGATCGTGACTTTTAGCTTTGGTTTTCTTTTATTGATGAGGGAGACCAGTTCAGCAAGAATTGCTCTAACCAAACCAGTGTTTATGAAAACACTTTTTTGGTTGGAGTAAACTTTTAACACAAGTTATACATCATTTTAATTTTTTTTCAGTAGTTTAATTTTCGCAGAAATTATGGTTATTCACAAACAAGGGAAATGAAGAATATTTTGAAAGCAGCATTATATGCTTCAATACATACATTGTTAAAGGATTCTGGTGTCTAGGAATAAGCTAGCTGGTAAGGTTTTTTGTAGACGTGCTTTACCAAAATTCTGCTATAAACAACGGAAGTAGTCAATACACATATGAACGTTCTTGCAGCTAGCTTGTGTCTACACACTGGGACCTGATAAATCTATTAACAAACCTATTTTAAAAATATTTGCTCATTTATACATGGATATCCATTCGTTTGGCACAAGAATGAGATTAATAAGATTTGTAAAGGAACAAAATAAATGTAGTGTGTAGTCATCTGTGCATATGTTTTATTAATTGCTCATACTGATTTAATACTAATTTGGTCTTTGCTTTACAGACGGATGTCATAAAATGTGTTGTGGCCTCTGATCCTGGGCTGCGATCCCATTGGTTGGTATCCAGCGCTTGCAACTTTGGTCATTTCCTGAAGGCAGTCATCTTTTTTCTCTTACGTGAGCGATAGTGTGCCATTCTTTTGGAAAAAAACAAACAAACTTTGTCTGCAGACTCATCTCTAGCTCTGAAACCCATTCACTGCCTGATCTTGTGTTGCTGAAGCCAGGTCTCAAACAGACAGTGGTTTGTAAATGGTGTCCGTCTGAGTTATGTAAACTCTGGTCTTAATGTGCAGTGACACACTCCACAATAATGGGCCGCTACTTTCAAACCCTTTCTCACCAGGCTTGGTCCTAAATCGAGACACTTTGCAATGAGTTTTGCAGGATAAATGGCTCCCTGGGATATTGCTCCTTCTTAAAACACCATAGACTTTACGCAGGAACCATCACTCTTCTCAGCGCTTTGGATGGACATGGTTTTGGACATAATGTCCACGGTCAGCGTATGATGCGGTGGTATCACGAAACAGTCACAAAAACTGTGGAATGATCTTCACACTGTTTGCTTCTAAACTAAAACCACTGCGCCTGTACCTCATTCTGAAGTACACCATTGAGGAACTATAATAATGTGTCATAATTAAAACGTTAATTACACTAAAATGAACCTATATAAGGTATCTGTTGTTTTGCAGAGATGTTCAAACTTTCATACAACCTCTACGTAGGATAATATGATAACTGGAGGGCTGTCTTTTATTAGAGCAAAACCATGTGTTAATGAGTTGATACATCATTGCAATCAGGTTAAGTTGAACAGGAACAGTTTATATGAGCTTACAGTCTAAACTCGAGGACAAGGGTTACAAAAAGGCATGTTGTGTAGCGAAACGATGTATAATGTTTGCAAAGTTTTTAGCAGTAGAGTAAAAATGTGAAGTAAGATTAAACACATTGGGAGTATGGGTTGTTTTGCGTGCGATAAGGGTAGACAAATTTAGGAATAGCAATTACTAGTTTCGAAATCAAAACTAGTATTCTTTACAATTTCTTAAATGACTGGGGACTACTTCAACATGGATGCTACCTTCAACATGGATGCTGTCCAGGAAGTAGGAGGGTCTGGGAGGGAGGGTTTGCTGGAGATTGGCTGGGATGTGTCAGTTGACCGGAATTCGCCGCGAACGGTTCGTGGCGAACCGTTCGCGAACCGTTCGCGAGAAGTTCGCGGACGGTTCGCGACATCTCTACTGGGGACTAGGTGATAGTGTGAGAGTATGAGTTAATGCAATCCATAAAAATGGAACAGAACTTTACAATCCTCCAGAGCTAGACATGTGGATGTGAATGAGGACAAGCAAAGTTCATAGTCAGAGTAGAGTGACCGAAAACAGGTCTACTGGTGAACTAGAGAAGAAAATACATGGTTACATGGTTCCGGGGACAGTTACCGAGGGCTTCTAGGTGAGGGTCAGGATTTCAAATAGAAATATTAAACTACTAGTGGCAAGATTGAAGACTGAATGGATTGAGGAGCAAAAGAGAGGTGAGAGTTAAACAGAGCTTGACGAAGTTAAAGTGATATGACAGAAAACAGGGTTTTCCTTGTAAGACCACCCCTCTTCAACTGCACTTCTAAACTATCGATATTCAGTTCTATCATTATTGGAACCCGTCCCAGCACTCTCAGTTTGTTACTGTCATCCAGGCGGGCAGAATTGATCTTGATATGATAAAATCTGCAATATCAAGGCTGCTGAAGAGGGGGAGGTATATGGACAAGTAGAGCCCATTTACTGTCTAACTGCTCTAAAACAGCTTGACCAAACAAATAAGGCATAACGCCTATAAATTCCCAGTACCATAACCACTAAACTGAACTGCAGTGGTTATGGTGTCCATAGTGCTCCTCTAAAATATAACAACAATTAAGTGAACACGTAGGCTGTGGTTATTAATGATGGCAGCACCGATCTGATGGGAATGTGATAAAGGAGTGTTAGCTCTTCAGGAAGTAAAGAGAAGAAGGTGTATTTTGAAAAAAAGGTGGGCAACCATCCAGTTACAGACAGAAGGAAAGCATTTAATGACATGACATTTATGTACGTTTTCACTGTGTAAATATAGTGACACATGGGAAAACCTAAATTAATACTTCTTTCAGAACTGCCTTTGAAAAATGAATTGTCAGGGTTGTGGTGGGCTGATATTAACTGAAAATAGCTCTCTGGAGCGCTGTGTTAACAAAAGCTGGAAAGCTACCGTAATTCAAGATGTGATCACAGAAAAGATTTTGGAGAAGATTTTGCCAGAGTTCCATTTTTTTCTGTGCCATGTCTCATGTTCTTTTTTATGAATCCCAAATTTGTATGTCTGTATTTAATAGGACAGTTCAGTGGCCATTGAGCTTGCTTTGGAAGTGTTTGTGTAACAAATAACAATTTGTTTTTTGCCAAAATGTGTTTTTTTTTACAAACCATGTAGCCTTTTTATTAAATATAAAATGTTCTTTGTCTGTCCAAATTCGATGGCTTCAACTGAAAGTTAGCTCTCTGAAGCCCATTCACAAAAGGCAAATCCGGTTATGTAAGCTACATCTGCACTTCCATTTGGCTGCCTTCTGGTTAGCTGTTAAAATCTCTATTTAAGTTTGCTAACTCGGCTATACAGAGGCAGCCAAATTACTGTCAGGTTTATTTTAGCAGCTATATTTTACATCAAATACATTTCAAATTTAGTTTTCTATTGGGACACATACTTGGCTTAATGTGTTGTATTTCGAACACTTGGTTTTAATGTAATCAACCACCTAGGCTCTCAGAATTGGTCCTAGCTTTAAATTGCTACTCAAAATCTATTACCGTGGGTAAATAAACATTATGATTCTCTTGATTATGTACGAACATTACTTTGTGTACGTCACTATCACAATTATTTCCTTTTAATCTTTGTAGCAATTAGCCATGTTTTACCTACGGGAGCTAAAAACTAAACTACCTGGAACGTAGTCAAACTCAGTTATTTCTAAAGAATTTCTGTAGGAAATTGTTTTGTTTAAGAGAACGTCATAACCACATAAACTAGTCAAATATAACCTTATTGAAATCATGCAATTCTGTTGTAGATTGTTGACTGACCTCTTAGCCCTGAATGTGGGATAGAGGGCAGTGCAGCTGGGGTTACACTGGATTAAAAATTGGGGTGATGGGTGGAAGCGGAAGGCCGGCAGCATTGATAACACTGCTGATCTAAGGCCCATCCGGCATCCAGACACACTCCAACATGTACACAAACAACCAGGCTTCAGAAGATAAGCAGTTTGTGTGTGTTCACTCTCTGTGAATTCTATGGTTTTACATATCAGGACATAATAACAATCATCTGTTCCTTAGCAGGTCTTAAAATTAGGTAAATACAACCTCAGATGAACAACACACGTGACATACTATACCGTGTCACGATTTATTTAACAAAAATAAAACCAAAATAGAGTACAACAGGGGTGGAACGCAGGTACTGGTTGCTCTTCAGGTGCCACGCACGTTCTGGTTGCAATGCTTTCCACCAAGATGTCATTGTGCGCTATGCCAAATTCAAACAGGAAGGCCTTGTAGACTTTATATTCCCAGCCACAACTACCCGGCAACCAGGTGCTGTTCAGGCCCAGAGGAGGCGGGCTGAAAGCTAGCCGGATAGGAGGCATGTGTGGGTGTGGTGGGTGTAGGTGTCATAAGTGGGTGTGTCAATTAGAGTAAGGGATGGGTGTGGTCCTTTATATACCAGTCATTTTGTCTCCCTTACCTCAGCCATCTTAGATTTAAGGTAACATCTCTGCATCCTCCTGTGCTTACCAGCTTGTCAAACGGCCAAGGGTATGGATATTGATGCAAGGAGGCGGGCTGAAAGCTAGCCGGATAGGAGGCATGTGTGGGTGTGGTGGGTGTAGGTGTCATAAGTGGGTGTGTCAATTAGAGTAAGGGATGGGTGTGGTCCTTTATATACCAGTCATTTTGTCTCCCTTACCTCAGCCATCTTAGATTTAACGGCGTGGTAACATCTCTGCATCCTCCTGTGCTTACCACTGCTTGTCAAACGGCCAAGGGTATGGATATTGATGCAATCCTCGCGTGGCTCCACAGATGGCTTCACCTTCGGTTCCCGCCAGTGAGTATATTAGTTTACAGGGTTTGGGGCCGGGGTGTGTTAGCGCAGTCATGCCAGAATGGGATTCGTTGCTGCAAACTATGCGACAGGTTTTGCATTCTTTGGAAAAGGGCCCCCCCTCTGGGGCCCCCCTCACCTCGACTTTAGATAACCAACTTAGAACGGGTTGGGCGACTAGCGGAGGGTCAGGTGTCCCGACTTCTACTTCGGCTGTCTCAGGGGGGCCTACTGCCCTCCTAGAATCTTTGCCTGCCGCAGGAGAGCTCGGAACCCCCGTGGGGTCAACAGTGACCCCCACTGCGGTTCAGGACTTGGGGGTTGCACCCGCTGCGCACGGGGCGGCTTACATGTGTTGGTCAGGCCCCCTGGGCCTCCATTTGACAGCTGAATTGCGGGCCAAGATAGAGAAAGGGGAATTTGTCGAAATATTTTCCCTTCTCCCTATGGAGGACTTGCCTCGGGTTGATCCTGCAGCAAAGGAGTCAGAAAAGGAGAAAGAGAAGTTTCGGTATCGGAAGATACCAAAAACTTTTGGGAATTGGATCAGGGCCTTTTCTATCCTGGCTAGCGTTATAGGGGAAAAGACTCCCAACAAATGCTCTTCTCTATTTTGCTACCAGGATATGATCTGGAACGCGTGTCGGGTTTATGGCGGGTTAGGCTGGTGGCGGTATGATGAACAATTCCGCCAGCGCCTAGCGGTGCGCCCTTCCCTGAGTTGGGATCAAATGGATATCGGCTTGTGGTTGGCCATCATGACCCGTCCCGCTTCACATCAGGGGGGCCTGTCGTCCTTTCTTGGGGGGGCCGGCGCAGGGTCCTCACCCTCCGCGTCGGCCACTCAGCGTAGAACAGGTTGCTGTTGGCAATTTAACGACGGCCAGTGTAAATTCGGAGCAAATTGTCGCTTCAAGCACGAATGCTCCGGTTGCGGCGGGTCCCACCCCGCTTCTAAGTGTTTTAAGCGGGGTAAGTTTGGCGACAAAGGGGATGCCATGGGCGCTAAGGGCGAAGACGCCGGTGGACGTCGTCGCGATGCGTCCGTGGCTAAAACGTTATAGGAACAAAAAGGCGGCTGCCTTGCTCCTGGAAGGGTTTACTCATGGTTTTTGGATTCCCCATCGGGCTCGTTCGCCCTCAGGGTCGTGTCGGAACCTGCGTTCCGTTGCTGAACACCCAGGGGTGGTAAAAGACAAGCTGGCTAAGGAGGTGGCATTGGGCCGCATGGCTGGCCCTTTTCGTGAACCCCCCCTTCCTGACCTTCGAATATCACCACTAGGCGTCGTTCCCAAGAGAGAGCACGGGAAATTTCGGCTAATTCATCATCTCTCGCACCCCCAAGGGGGTTCCGTGAATGATGACATTGCGGCGGAGCTATGCCGAGTTTCTTACGCCTCGTTTGATACTCCGGTTGGTATGGTTAGGGCCGCGGGCCCCAGTGCACTGATGGCAAAAACCGACATTGAGTCGGCTTTTCGCCTCCTGCCGGTTCACCCGGAGTGTCATCATCTGCTCGGCTGTTCCTTTGAAGGGCAATTTTACGTGGATATGTGCCTCCTGATGGGTTGTGCAATATCCTGTTTTTATTTTGAATGTTTTAGCTCCTTCATGGAATGGGTAGTGAGAGCTGAGTCTGGCTATGACTCAGTGCTTCACTATTTGGATGATTTTCTTTGTGTGGGTCCCGCGAACTCCCCGGTATGCGCGCACATTTTGCAATCGATAGCCGACGTGGCCTGTGGGTTCGGCGTGCCTCTGGCGCCCGATAAGACGGTGGGCCCTTCCCCGTGCTTGTGTTTTCTTGGAATTGAGATCGATTCGGTTATTGGGGAATGTCGCCTCCCGCCGGATAAGTTGGAGGATCTGCGGGGGGCTGTGCGGGAGGCGATCTCCCTCCGGAAGATTACTTTACAACGGCTTCAATCCCTTCTTGGCAAGTTGAATTTTGCATGTCGGATTATGCCTATGGGTCGAGTGAGTCTGGCTATGACTCAGTGCTTCACTATTTGGATGATTTTCTTTGTGTGGGTCCCGCGAACTCCCCGGTATGGCGCGCACATTTTGCAATCGTAGCCGACGTGGCCTGTGGGTTCGGCGTGCCTCTGGCGCCCGATAAGACGGTGGGCCCTTCCCCGTGCTTGTGTTTTCTTGGAATTGAGATCGATTCGGTTATTGGGGAATGTCGCCTCCCGCCGGATAAGTTGGAGGATCTGCGGGGGGCTGTGCGGGAGGCGATCTCCCTCCGGAAGATTACTTTACAACGGCTTCAATCCCTTCTTGGCAAGTTGAATTTTGCATGTCGGATTATGCCTATGGGTCGAGTGTTGGGTTTCTCTGATCAGGCTATTCAGAGGATTGGCAGATGGGAATCTGGGAGGTTTCGGTCCTACGTACGGCCCACGCGGCTAATCGGTTCCCCTCTTGTGTTTTCTCCACAGGGCCCGGCCGTAGGATCTGGCTGATTGGGCATTCGTACATCTATTGGGCCCATCTGCGAGCTGGGGTACGCCCGGGTGGGACACGCCTTGGAATTCCTCGGGAGCTGGCGGAGGTCCGATGGTTTGGTTTCCGGGGCATGAGATGGGGCCAGCTCTTGCCGGAGGTTGTACAGCTGGCCACTTTCCTAGGGGCGCCTGATGTATTGGTGGTTCACTTGGGTGGCAATGATCTGGGGGTGCTGCCTGCTTGGGGTTTGGGTGAAATGATTAGAAGGGATTTAGCGCGCTTGCGAGTTTTGTTCCCGCAGCTTTGTTTAGTTTGGTCTGGGATAGTGTCCAGGAACTATTGGGGGCGCGCGCGCGATCAGGGGGCTATTGAACGATGCAGGGTAAAAATTAATAAAAGAGTGTCAAAATTTGTGCTCGGCGTTGGTGGCATTTCGGTGCGCCACCGAATATTTGAACGTGACGCGGCGATATATTTTCGCCCGGACGGGGTCCACCTGACCGATGTGGGGTTGGATTTCTTCAACCTAGCTCTGCAGGATGCGCTGGAACAGGCCATGGCATTGGTGGGGGGTCGCGCCTGCTGATTTAGGCTTAAATGCAGCTGGCGCTAGTGGCGGGTATGGTCCTTGCCGAACCAGTGGAAAAGGAGTGCATTGGACGAAGGAATGCTGGGTCTGGTCCCTCCCCTAACCTCGGGCAATGGTTTGGTATTTGGGCGTGCCCTCCGTGCCAGGAAAAGCGGCCAGGGGTTGGCATGGGGAATTGGAGGGGGTGAAGGCCCTTGGACGAGGGGGGAGGGCAGGTGCCCGGGAAAGAGGTACCAAAAGGTTATTATGGTTCGGTTGGCAAGGACGGGTTTTGGTCCGGTTGGATTTAAAGCTGTCTGTTTTAACACATTTATGTCTCTGTTTTAATTGGGAATGCGGGGTGGGTGGAGCGGTTTTGGTGATCATGCGTTAACCACTACCTGCACACAAGGCCCAGAGGAGGCGGGCTGAAAGCTAGCCGGATAGGAGGCATGTGTGGGTGTGGTGGGTGTAGGTGTCATAAGTGGGTGTGTCAATTAGAGTAAGGGATGGGTGTGGTCCTTTATATACCAGTCATTTTGTCTCCCTTACCTCAGCCATCTTAGATTTAACGGCGTGGTAACATCTCCCTCCCTCCCTCCCTTTGTTGATACTTTGGTATCCGTTTCCGTCTTACTAATTTATTTCTTTTGTCACAGCTGGCGGGTATGGTCCTTGCCGAACCAGTGGAAAAGGAGTGCATTGGACGAAGGAATGCTGGGTCTGGTCCCTCCCCTAACCTCGGGCAATGGTTTGGTATTTGGGCGTGCCCTCCGTGCCAGGAAAAGCGGCCAGGGGTTGGCATGGGGAATTGGAGGGCCAAGGTGAAGGCCAATTAGCTTGGACGAGGGGGGAGGGCAGGTGCCCTGGAAAGAGGTACTCAAAAGGTTATTATGGTCCGGTTGGCAAGGACGGGTTTTGAGCTAAAAATATACGCTCATATTAAACATAATTGAATTGGTTTTACTTATTATATATATAAATAAAGCTGTGGCCTGTTTATACCACATTTATGTCTCTGTTTTAATTGGGGATGGGGTAAGGTGGGGGCGGGGTGGGTGGAGCAGTTTTGGTGATCATAAGGGGCACCACACGTTAACCACTACCTGCACACAAGCTCTCCAGCACACCCGGAGGCCTAACAAGGTAAGACTTTGTGCCTTTGTTTTAGTCCTCTTGTCCCCTGTTTTTTTAAGTTAGATGTTTTCTTTCTTTTTTAGTGTCTAATCCTGAAACCTCTGGGAAACCTGTAGAGAAAAAGACATTTTTGCCCAAGTCCACGAACACCTTAACTGTGTGTCCTTCAGTCAGCCTGTGCCTGATGGGTTTAATATGAATATCTGTAATATTTGTTAGGCAGCAGAAAAATCTAAGAATGCTGAGATTTCCTGTCTTGGTTGCAGTCCAGTCTCCAACAAACTTTTGGCAAGATAAAGGAAGCAGCTACTCAAGCAGCTCAGTCATCTGTAACCCATGAATGGGACTGAAGACCCTCTCAGAAAAATAAGAAGCATAAAGAGGAAGAGTTTTAACCTTATGTGATACTCTCGCCACTCGAACAAGGAAGACTGTTTGGTTCTCAACTAGATGATCCCAGTATTTTAATGCCAACACTGCACGCAAATACACTCCTACATTCCATCGCTAGCACTGTACACAAATACACCCCCTGCATGTGTACCTGTGTGTGTACATATCTGTGTCAGTATGCGTGTATCTCTGTGTGTGGATGTGCCAGTGTGTGTATGTCTGTGTGTTAGTATCAAAGGGTGTGTATATGTGTGTCAAAGGGTGTGTATCTGAGTGTGTGTGTGTTTGTGTATATGCCAGTATGTGTCAAGGTGTGTGCATGTGTCAAAGTGTGAGCATGTGTCAGTGTATTTGTGTGTATCTGCATGTTAATGTGTTAATGTGCATACATCCCAGAAATCACACAACATGCAAACACACCCCTACAAACACAAACATTACATTCAAGCACACCCGTTTGCTGAAACACCAATACTACACACAAATGTACATATGCATTTAAAAGACAACACTACATTCAAACACATCCCTACATGCAAATACAAACATTACATACAAACACATCCCTGCATTAAAACACTAAAATTATATACAAACACCAACTCTACACACAAAAGTACACCTGCATTTAAAAGCGAACAATATAGACAATCACACCCCCCCCACATTTAAACACACTACACACGAGTACACCACTGCACTCCAATGGTAACAGTACATACAAATACACCCCTACATGCACACATACACTCTATACAAAAACGTGCTTACATTTAAATGCACGAACACTGCTCACAAATACAACCCTGCAAGGATGGTAGACCCCCAGCTGGCATAGCATTGCAGGAGTTGTATGACAGATGGGGATCTATCTTTTCTTTACTCTTGCACTACAGGGGAGGCCTAAATAATTTATTGCACCAGGGCACTTTCTACATTAGTTCTGCCGCTGGGTTGGGGCAGAGGGAGTGATTGTATGCCCAGGAGGGGGATGGGTGCAGGGTCCAGGGGGTCCAAGCAAATGCTTGCCCGGGGTTCAATCAATATTAAAGACGGCCCTGTGAGGAAGATTACAAAGAGCTGGAAACATAGAATGTGATGGCAGATAAGAACCATTTGGCCCATCTAGTCTGGCCAATTTTCTAAATACTTTCATTAGTTCCTGGCATTATCTTAGATCTAGGATAGCCTTATGCCTATCCCACGCATGCTTAAGCTTAAACTCCTTCACTGTGTTAACCTCTACCACTTCAGCTGGAAGGCTTTTCCATGCATCCACTACCCTCTCAGTAAAGTAATTGTAACGGATCACCTGGCACCCCAACTGGGTACCTCCGTTAAAGGATGCTCCTAGCGCTTACAGAGGGCTCCAAGCACTCCGCAGACACCACAACCACCGCAGACCCCACTAACCGCCGCAGCTTGGTTGGGTTCTCACCGTCTCCTACCCACCCTGGACCTACGACAAGGCTCCAGGTTCCAGTGGGTGAACCTTTCCTCCAAGAGAGTGAAGCAGGAACAAGCTCTTAAAAGAGCTTTAGTAATTAGCTAAGGGAGTATCCAGAGCATAGCAATCCCTTGTAGTGATATAGCAATTCCCCCAATAAGAGATAGTACTCTAGACTGAGGGTGAAGAAGAACTGTCTGTACTGGCACATACAGCCTCTTTTATTCACATTCTACAAGCATAGTACTGCCCACAGGGTTTTGAAGAACAACCAATCAACACATTACAACAAAGCTAACACTCCCATTCATTACATCAGAAATCCTTCCCTGTGCCTGTGATACAATTATCTCAACACAATAGACTAACTTAATTATCACAGGCAGGAAAATACAGCATTATAAAACATATCACAGGGACCCCAAAACATGCAATAACCCTATAAATATATCCTCGGAACCGCCCTTCTCTGAACTCTTTCTATAGTATCAATATCCTTCTGAAGATACGGTCTCCAGTACTGCGTACAATACTCCAAGTGAGGTCTCACCAGTGTTCTGTACAATGGCATGAGCACTTCCCTCGTTCTACTGCTAGTACCTCTCGCTAAACAACCAAGCATTCTGCTAGCATTTCCTCCTGTTATATTACATTGTCTGCCTACCTTTAAGTCATCAGAAATAATCACCCCTAAATCCCTTTCCTCAGATATTGAGATGAGGACTCTATCAAATATTCTGTACTCTGCCAGTGGGTTTTTACATCCAAGATGCATTATCTTGCACTTATCCACATTAAATGTCAGCTGCCACAACTCTGACCATTTTTTTAGTTTAAAAGTCTTGTCTTGGCCTTTAGATTCCCCAGACCTCAATCCAATTGAGCATCTTTGGGATGTGCTGGAACAACAAATCTGTTCCATGGAGTCCCCACCTCGCGTCCCCACCTTGCAGGACTTAAAGGATCTTCTGATAATGTCTTGGTGCCAGATACCACAGGATATGTTCAGGGGTCTTGTGGAGTCCATGTCTCAATCCATTAGACCTGTTGCGGCAGCACAAGATGGGCCTACATGATATTAGGCAGGTTTTTTTTTTACTGTTGTGGCTGATAAATGTAAGCAAACAGATAAACAAAAAAAAAGTGATACCCAAAAAGGAAATTGAATATTCAACTTAAAGCGGCACTGTCATGCCGAATTTACCTTTCTTTAATCGATTCCTCTTCTCTCCCTCTCTCAGGATCTATTCTTCGTTTCTTCCTATCTGCTCTAGTTTTCTTTAAACCATAAGACAAAGTAGGGACTATTTGTCTTATGGAGGTTTCCTACGCCTGACCATCTCTGACCAGCGGAGGAGCAAAGTGTGCTTCATTTCCGGTGGTCAGAGAAATTTCCCCACAATTCTTAGCTTTCCTCCCTGTTCCCGCGATGCATCCTGTCAGTATTGCCGAACGTCCTGTCACTTAGACAGAACGCCGGCAAAACTGCCAAATTGCGTGCTAACAGAATGAGAACAGTTTCTCCATTCTAGTTGGGACGCAATTTCGGGACTTTGTTTGTATCAGAATTTCATTATAATGAATGAAACTCCGATCCTGTTCCTGCGGCAGCTGCATCTTGATAGCTCCCTAATTCCCACGGTGTCTTTCAGACAAATTTACTAATACTGAGTTAAGATTACTTGGAATTGGTAAATGCTGCCCCTACTCACTATATCGCGAGTAGGGGCATGTCTAGTAAACAGTGAGCTGCCAGTCAGGTGTCTTTTTTAAAAAAATGATTACATTATACAACAAGATATAAAAAACTAACAACCAAGGTGATAACAGATAACACATAATTTCCTTCCACAAACCATAACATTTCAGTTATCTGTCGCTTGCTTCAGAATTTGGAGGGTTCCCCAGACAGAGAGAGACAGTACATATCTCATATTTTTAAAAAATTTAATTACCACCCAACAAAATTAAGACAGTATATCAAGCAAAACCTGAATAAAAATAAAAAAATGCATATTTGGAATCCGGGTGGTCTCCCTGGTAGACAGACACCTATCGGCAGCTGCCTATACATCCTCTTGGCAAATTTGACCCAGCTAACAATGAACTTTGTCAATGGAATGAGGTTGAGATTTGATTTTATACCACGTTGATAAGGAGATGGGATTTAGAGATATTAGGTAATTGGATCCTTTCATACTAATGGTAATGAACATGATGGAGGTAGAGCTCAGTTTGTGCACTGTGATCCAATATACTCATTGAAATCCATGAACATTATAACACATGGTCACTTGTACAATACTAGCCCTGTTGGAATGTACCTCACTCACTGGTTTCTTACAATTGCTGTAGATGTTACTGTTGTAAGAGAGCTCAGCAGTCACCAGGCATGTTAATTTTATAGGCTGCTTAAGATTAGTCATTAAGATTAGTCATTACCCAATGGGCTTTGGGGTATTAATTGGAATGCCAGTTAATCATCACTGCTCATAAATTAAAGCCTTTACACAACAAACTATAAATCTTTCTAAAAGCTGATTAAGAATTAAACTATAAGCAATGAAACCTGACCAAAACATTTATCAGCGCCATGAAACAGTATCAAAACAGCAACATACTAAAATTAACAGTCATAGCACATTCACAGGGTTATTCGGTAATGTGCCAATTGTCGGGAATCATTTAATCTATTTAGAAATAAAATTCACATTTTACTTTGAATTTACGTTGTATCAGTAACGTAACTACAACCCGTGCACCTGCCTGGAAGAGCCAACTTTGAAGGGCTAATCAGGTGTCCCTCAACTTTGGGACACTCAATCGGCATCTTTGATCGGAGGCACTTACAGTGCCCCTCTCATATGTTGCTGGGAGGAAGAGAGTTCAGATCACTTACTGACAGCTACCAGTAAGCCCCTTCATGATGGATGGGAGGTTTCAGAAGGGGGAAGAGAGAGGAGGCACAGAGAGGAAGGCGCATGGGTTTCTGTATGTGTCAGTGTGTATGTGAATCTGTGTCAGTACGTGAATCTGTGTCAGTGTGTATTCATGTATGTCACTGTGTATCTGTGTATGTGTCAGTATGTGTGTATCCATGTGTGTCACTGTTTATATCAGTATGTGTGTATCCATGCGTGTCACTGTGTATCAGTGTTTGTGTCAGTGTGTATCCATGTGTGTCACTGTGTATCTGTGTATGTGTCTATCCATGTGTCACTGTGTATCTGTGTCAGTATGTGTGTGTCAACGTGTATTTATGTCAGTATATGTGTGTGTAACTTGGTGTGGCAGTGTGTACGTGTATCTGGGTCAGTATGTATGTGTGGCAGTGTATATGTTCACACATTCCAGCTTTCAAACACCAACACAATACACAAACACACCACTGCATTCAAATGGCAACAATACATACAAATACACTACTACATTCACACACATACTACATACAAAAACATACTTACATTCAAAGGCACAAAAACTGCTCACAAACACAACCCTGCAAATGGGCAAATGGTAGATACCCAGCTGGCAAAGTATTGTGGGAGTTGCACAACAGTTAAGAATCCAACTTTTGGCTAAAGTGGGGGATCCTTTCTTGTACCGGGGCCCTCTCTACATTAGTTCTGGGAGAATTCCTGCTGATTTATACTTTGGTGAATAAGCCCTGTCAGCATCAACTTCAGGCAAATCTTGAATGTTTTAAACTTGCTATATCTTCTGAAATATTTCTCCAGAAGTCTGATGTTTAGTTTTTCTTTCAGCGTTAAATATAATTTCCAATCTGCATTTTATATGCTGGAATTACCGTTAAAAATAAATAAAAATAATATGGGAGATGTTTTATGCTTGTTTTGACCTGTTTATGTAAAAAACAAAAACGAAAATTTCTAGTGTAACAAAGCAGAAAAAAAAAAACATATTTCAAGGCAAAAGGAGATTTTCTGTTTCACACATTATAATTATCTATCCATCTAGATAAACAAGGCAAAAGCTGCTTCTAGGCCAGTAATCTCAAATTCTAAGCACCATCTCCCTGATGTTAATGGCCTCCCAAAATTATTTGAATGCAATATATGGCCAGAGAATCATGGGATCCAAGCCTATAGGTCAAACAACATCTGTATGGCCGGGGTTTGAGATGCCAGTTCTACGCTTGTGGAGCCCTTACAGAACAAATCGTAGAAATGAAAGTGGATATAAGTCAGCCAGCACTCACACAGTGGAAATAATTCAAATGTTTGTGGTTGCATGTGGTCATTTCAAAAACATGTAAACTAAAATAATAGCAGTTAAATTTGCCAGGTTTTCAGAATAAAGCACAACACTAATGCTTGCTTAGTGGTAAACATAAGCTAATGGGGTCATGCACTAAAATTATCTGTAATGCAAAAGCTGTCAGCCTGCGCCAACAGTTTCATAAGAAGGGCTATCCAAACAAAGGCATATAAAAGGACCCTGGAGAAAGATAGATCGTAACCACCAACCTCCAGTGGAAGGTCGGAACATTTGATTAGGGTCATTGGTTCCTTTGACGCAGTGTGGGCCATTAAGCGATAGACACTACAATGCGTTTGATTGTTGTTAACTGTGTGTAGATGTGTGTTAAATTACATACACCTTATTGACATGTTGTGTCCACATGCAAGCATTACAGCACATAGGGGTAGACACTTATGGGATATACTTGTCCGAAGTGATTTTCAAATGAAGGTTAACAATAACAAGAAAAGCTGGTTGCCAGAGGGGACTCTATAATTAGGCAAGTTAGGCAGCCTAATTACAGCCATTACTCTCACATACACTGTGACCCCCTCCCACACACTATCACTCCCACACACTGCCACGCCTTCCAACACACTCCCCATCGTCCTTTCACTCTCATCCTGCGATAGTTACCCCGTTACTCACCCTGTCACAGTCACCAGCTGAAGACATCATATACACAGTCATGAAACATAGCTTTGCCATAAACACAATACACAAAGGCTACAGGCAGCTCCCCTACCCCCCATAAACACAACAAAGAGACATAAAGGTACACCCAAGAATACTCTGTCACACACACCCTCTCATTCACATAATGCCAGACACACTCAGAAATACACACAGCCAGATATACATTGTGACTGAATGTCTGTATTTGTCAATGTGTGTATCTCTGTGCATCAGTGTGTTTGTGTTTGCATGTGCGTGCATCAGCGGGGGGTATATGTGTGCATGTACTAGTGTGTTTGTGTCTATGAAGATTGTATGATGTATAGTATAAATTTGAATAAATTATGTCCACAAATGGAGCTCCATAGGGCATAAGAACATTGGCTGCAATGTAAGGGTTGTATTGTACTGGCAATGCAAAGGTAAAGTGGCACCATATCTAATATAAATATATATACCATACAACTGGCAACTCATATAGGATAATATATATGTGAAGGGATTATAGAATATGTGGGGAAAATGCATATGACACTATTTTCTTATCCTTAGTTGGTACATTCAGACAGCAGGTGTGTTGTATGTAAATATATCAACAAGGATTCCAAACAGATCTATGACAGTGAAAACTGTTAAAAATTCCAGATCAAGTCGTTCTTTAATTGTAGGACTTCAGGACTGGTTTATCTGCTTACTGCGAATGTAGGATAAAATATGGCGAGACCTTTCGTCCTTTCACAGAACGCATAAAAGAACACAGTAGGTCTGCTAAAACCTGATTGAGACTGATCTTCAGATACCTCAAAGCTTACCGCTCAGGAGATACCAGTGGATTGAGATTTTGTGGCATTGAATTAGTCAAAAGAAACCCAAGAGAAGGTGATTTAGACAAGATGATAAGAAAACTCAAATATCAATGGATACATAGATTAAAAACCCTCCACCCAGGAAGGTTTTATGAGCAGGGATTGAATTAACATCTACATTATTGTCAATGGGAGAGAAACACTTTGGTAGCCCTTTCCATTTTACCATTTTGTTTTATATCTATGGGTATATTAAATACATTGTGTACTTTATTTTCTTTCAATAATCCTACTTGTTACCTCGGTGTCAGTTCTTACAGTTACAGGCTTTATATGTTATGTGTATTGTGGCTTGTATGTATAAATTTTAGGTTATTATTCCCTGGAGTGCTCCATTTGTGGACAGAATGTAGACATATTTATACTATACATCATACAACCTTCATTGCAGAAGTTTACGGTTCCATTTCTTAACATTCTGTTTGTATCACACTATTGTTCACTGGGTTTTATATGAACTACTGTAGATACTTACCTTCCCTTGAGAATGATTAATGGCGTGTGTAATTTATACAAGCTTTATTTAATGGGGATGCTTCTTAAATTGTTTTTCCAATACCGACAATTTGAACTGCACATGTGCAGCTACTAGTAGATTTTTCTACCCTCTCGCTCATGTAAAGAGCGATTCTATATACAGGTATTTATGTCTAGATTTAAATTTATGTTAAATTAGTCAGAGGAGCTGAAAAAACACTGGCCCTTTATCATGTGGCCTTTAAATTGCCACTTAATTTCATGGGGGGTGGCATTAAGCAATATGACATCATCTTGGGCAGGCTATGCCCGATTAAGCCTGGGAGAAGTGAAGCATAGTTGAAACTATTGTTAGTTTCCGACTAAGGCCTGAAAGGTGCGTCAAAACTAGTTTGTTGGTTTTTTTTTAAATCACTCTCACACTGTGATGGGGTTGCTATAAGGGTTTCTCTTTTGGAGGGGATTAGTATGTAGGGAAGTCCTCAGGTTTAGCAACAGTTCTCTGTAAACTTGCAGATTCCAGTGGTACCAGCATGTTTCCAACATTATGATAAGCATGTTTATAATCCTATTTTAATTTCTTATGTTATATTTTATTCTTACTGTTGCTGTTACTATTCTTACTGTCCTTTTATTATGATCATCTACTGATATACGACTATTTCTTCAGAATATTTGGAGCATTTTTTTTTTCTTCACAGTTCTTTAGTTTTTCAATAGGAGTTAGCCTGGAACAAAAATGACCAGATCCCTCCACAATCATGAACACTCAATGCTGGTAATATCACTCTGATTTGGAAACATAACATCTGTGGACTGGAACACAGCAGTGTACTGGCACCCAATATAAAGCTCTTACTATGGTTTTGAAGCATCTCAAATTTCATTCTTGTCTCATAGCTTCAAGCTCAATGTCACATTAACAAAACTCAATGATGAGGTGTTTGATCACATTCTTGTTCCATTTCACTGGACACGGTCTTTCATCAAGGAGTGGGAGGACAATAGTGAAAAAAATAAGGGTACAGGAGGGAATTGGTTATGCCTCCTTGGAGATAATATTTATATAGCAATACTGATATCTTGGCTTACTTACAGATAATTACAAACTTTAACCCAATTTGCTATGTAATTTCATCATTGCAACACACATTTATTACCGTGATAAATCTGACTACACAAATTTCTTTCCTGTAATACATTTGCTACATACACTGTTCTTGTTATCGTATAAGATGTTTAATACCAGATACCATGGGAAGTCATGTACTGTTATATGATAACTGTTGTTTAATTATCTCTGGATATTATTCCTGTATTACGGTCTCTTGATGAGAAAAAAAATTATTGCATTTAATAAACTTCTGGCATGTGCAGAAGGTCATCTGAAGACATCTTCATCCCTGGTGGTCCAGAGTGTGGGTTTGGAAAAACATTAAGCAGCTTTTGATTTGTTATGGAAATGTTTTGAAGATCTCTAGAACAGTGGAAAGATTTCTTATGGCTCTCAGTCAGTTGTGAAACATACTGAATCCAGAACCTATCAAACCTATTATTATTTCTGGAGCTCCCTAACTTTTGATTAAATAAGCCACGGGTAAGTTTATTTTTGTTGAGTGGGGAAGCAGTAGAATAATTCGGTTTTATTCAGTAGGGCAAGGATTTTATTTCGTCATAATTATTGTCATTCCTTATAAAATTAGAGAGAATGCTAAATGAGAGTAAATTGCATTTTAGCCACACAAAATGAAGGGCCACATTGAGATCTGAAATATTACATGTTACATTTTATATAGAAGTTAAGTTAAGTTTTCTTTTAAATAGGTTCACACTTGTCCCAATGAGGAGTTGTTGAGGAGAGGTCACTACAGCAGTGTTGAACTACAGTCACTGCTGGGATTTCTGGGTCTCCAATACCTATGATTGTCTGCCAGCCTTACAGAAGATTATGGGAGTTATAGTCCACAAAAATCTGTGACCACAGCTTTATAATCATGATTTACACACCCCTGTTTGCCATAGGAAACTGTATATCATTCTTAATGGTCTTAATCAACAACGTGTAGAGAACAGGAAGGTGGCCTCATGTAGGGAATGATGTAACATTGCTCTAGTCCTATAGGTAGGCTACTGCAAGAAAGGCAAGGACAGGGAAAAGATTAACAACCACAGCATATAACTCCATGCATAGATGTCTACTGAAAGCTTTACAGGCACGACTTCTACAATGTTCTAAGTACATCCTATGAATAAGGAGCTTAACAACTGGATTAGTAAATCATACCCCTGGTATGCAAATTCCTGGAAAAATAAGTAATTTTATTATAACACGCAGACACACAAGAGCTCGGCCTCCAGTGAATTTAAGGCTATGTGACTAGTACAGGAATTGTTTAAGAATCTTGGACCAGACCATTCATGAGGACAGCTTTCTGTATGTAACATGTAGGTGAGGAGCCAAAGATTGTGTACTTGTTGCCATGGAAACAGTCTGCTCTAGCTTCCCTTCAGCAGTCAGACAGAACTTGCGGCAAATCTGTAGATTTGGACACATAAAATAAATAAAATGAATAAAATAGTGTCACGAACCACATTAATATATGCATTCATAAACCATGATCACAGACTTCAATTAGTGTTGATGTCCTTGAGATCTGATGGGACGGCAAAGACTCTAAGCAAGACATTAAGGAGCTATCAAATAACTATGTTAACCAATGTCTACTTTAACTTGGGTAAAATGAGGTGGGTAAGGGGGGGTAAAATCAGTTGACAAATAATGCACCTTGTTTTACTGTAACAAAGGTAATTTATGAAGCACTGATAAAACCTCCCAACCTCTATTGAGTTAGTGTGTGGGATTAATATAGACCAATAATTCAACACTAAATGAGCAAATAGCTGACATATTACTTCCAATCAAATACTCTAAGGGTCACTTTGATATAGAAGGTGTCCAAAAAGCAAACATATGTATTTAAGCGCAGTATGCAGGCTTAGAATATCACTCTACTAAAATAATTGGCACTTCTTCAGGTCAGGCATTAAAATAAGGTTTGACTTTGTCCTCTCAACTCAGATAACTTCTTTTACATGCAAATCCGTGAGCCCATAGTTATGGCTGCCATAAAAGTATCATTATTATAATATGCAAGAATTCGTTTTACTGTGCTGTTTGCCTTAATTTGTATGTATTGTGTAATGAAATGTTTAATTAAAAAAAAAATGTATTGAAAAGGAAAAATAAATCAATAAAAAAAAAAGTCAAGTGTGAGTCTTTGCAGATGACACAAAACATAAGTTAATACAGCATGGATATATACCTTGTCTGCAGAGGGTGTTGGATACATCAGAAGGCCGAGCAGTAAATTGTCAGATTAGATTTAATGTCGATGATAATGTAAAGGACCTTCTCTTTGGGACCTGCATATTCTGCTCAATTGTTATTATTGCTAATAAATATTACTAGCTGAGAATTTGGAGAGACCTGTAGAGCACTGCATGACACATAACACGTTGAATGAGAAGCACCTGTTTTGGGTTTACTGAATATGATATTGTTTCCCCTTTTCTTACCTGCTGGACATGAGGTTCCTTGGCAAAACTCATCCTGCTGAGCGAGCGTGACGTCAGTGTTAGCTGCTCTCCCTCCACTTCCCCTTCCTCAATCTCCACAACACCTGAGGACAAACAAAAGCTATTCTAACAATGGCACTGTCACTCCTCATTTTTATAATATTTTTATAACAGCAAAGGTGAACCTACATACTGTTATCTAAAAAGTGGTAGATTGTTTTCTGTAATGTTATTTTAACCCCTACGTGTACTAAAAACTGCAAGAGTGCTCTACCCCCTCCCAAAGGGGTGTTCTACTGTTTTTTTGTTATTTTTTTTCTCTATTATCCTCTCTCTCCTCTTGCCCTCTCCCCCCTACCCTAGCCCACACCACACTACAGCAAAGGGACCAAGTAAGTGCCACTAGTAACGAAAGCATCCAAGACTAAGTAAGTCATAAGACCCCATCACAACTGGCAACACCCCCCCCAACGCCCCCACCCAGAATAAACCACCCGCTTACCCCCCTAAATCCCCAGAACATGGCAAGAACCTGCAACCCCTGCACCCAATCAACTGGACTACGCGCCCCACCCTCCCCCCGATCACCGTGAACCAACTTGAACGCTGTACCAAAATGTCAACTGATGGATTGTTACTTATTTCTATGTCAACGCACAAACAAAATTAAGAATTTTAAAAAAACAAACAAAAAAAACTGCAAGAGTGTCCTCTGTTAACATGTATTATCTGTCACTTTACTCAAGGATATTTTTGCTCTATAAATACAGATAGATAAACAGATGTCTGATGTAAACAATCCCTCTTCTTTGATTCCGAATAGAACACAGAATATCCTATATCACAGCCTAAAAAAATCCCTGATACCAGTGTACTCAGGAACAGAATACTTAGCTGCTTCAAGACTGGCTCTGAATATAAAAAGTACAACTTTGGTTACCTATATTCTGAGCACAAATAAATGCCACTTGATTGGTGCCAGGGTTGATTCGGATGAACCCACATTCTCTATGTAATGCTTTCCCGGTATCAGGGTTAGACGAACAAATCCTGCAAACATGACATTAAATGCACTTATTGCACTGCACCTATTACACTGTGTATTATGGGTAAAACAGAAGATAAAAATGCAGAGTTTTGCACGAAAATAAAATGAGTGGTTAAATAAATATCAGGAAAATGTCAGCATGCATCAAGCAAGTCAATTTATTGTGGTGTTATATGAGGGCTAAACATTGCTTTAAACCACCAGAATCCCAGGCCGTTCTCCATGAACATGTGGTTGTAATCTTGTTCTTGGCATTGATATTAAAATGTTGTTTTCTGCAGTCTACTTTACAGAAATAAGAAACAGCTTTGTAATCTAGTTTCTGATATACATTTAATGCAGAGATCATCTATTAATGTTAAAGCTAAAGCTTGAGTCTACTTTTCACTCACGTGAAATTCAGCATCGGTTGTCCTGCATGAGAGATGACCGCTTCCTCCTTGTAGTTGAATGGGGTAATGGTTGGAAACTCTCCTTTCCCAGCTGGTTCAGACACCCAGGTTCCCAGCATCCAGGCCAGAGGGGAAATAGCTGGATTTAAAAGAGGCGCGTCTACAAAAAACATACAAATATGCAAAGTTCGGCATCGCATTAAACATAAAAATAGAAACTATACAATCTTTACAATCATCGTCTCCAAGCAGGAATGATTTAGGGGATAGGAATGTTTGTAGTTTACCATTGTAGCTGGTGGACTGCAAACTGAGTTCTAGAACTGTGTGAGATACATGGTTCTCTACCACCTCCTCGTGGTGAGTATTATTCATAGCTAAAAATGTTATTCAATGGTTTCATGTAAATTGCAATAAAAACTCGATAAACCATTTAAAGGAACACTATGGCATTAGGAATACAATTGAGGAATACACTTTATTGAAGTTTTTGCATCACAGACAGCCATTACCATCAATTATAATCACCAATTTCCCAGAGGGCTGTGGTTATGTACAGTAAATATACATTTGATGGTATTTAGACACAGTAACCAATTTAGACAAAATCCCATCTGTGACGTTAAACAGCGGTGTAAATGTGGGTATGTAGAATATTACCATGTTCTACAATATTCATATTCATAGTAGGCATTGATGTCTAATGGATTAAAAAGAGCAGATGGTACTTTCCTATGCTGTACCATGAGAACTCTGGAATGTGGTAATTGGTGGTCTTGTCCTTATATGGCTAGGGTTATAGTTAAAAGGTCTGATGTCAAAATGGTCATAGCTATATAGAATAGGGGACAAGGCCCACGAGGTCTTGCTGTTGCTTGCTGCATGAGATTGTTCTTCTTGTCCGGCTGTCTAACTATGTAGAGTCTAATGATCCCTTCAGGAGTCCAGCAATTACCATCTGCTGTTGAACATCCATTATCCTGTAACATCCTTTGTTGTTTTGTTATGTATCCGTAACTAAGAATAAACCTGAAGAAACCGTAAGTCAGATTGCGGATTAGTATTTTTGGTTAATATAGACGTATATCAGCTAGTGATCTGCATGGGGAAAATATTTGGTTCGGCATTCTGAAATTCGGAACTTCGGATGTTCTCTTGCAGCCGCTAAGTAGATAACCCCCTAATTCCCAATTTAGGTCTTTCAGACCAATCTACGAATACAAAGTAAAAACTACTTAGGATTAGTAAATTCTGACCCTTCTCACTATACTGCGAGTAGGGGTATGTCTATTAAACAATGAGCAGCTTGTGGCTGCTCACTGTTAAAAAAAACCCAAAAACAAACTGTGTCCCCCCTCCCGAGCCACGCGAGTGGGGGCTTTTAAACTGAAGGGGGGACCTATTGCCACCCCGGCCCCCACCCCTGAGCGGCGGATGGGGGCCCTAAAGAAGAATAAGGGAGGGGGGGAACCTACTGAGCGGAGGGGGGGAACCTACTGAGCAGCGGGTGGGGACCCTAAAGTAAAATAATGGGGGGGGGGTGGGAGGGATACTTATTGTCCTCCCCCTGGCCCCCACCCCTGAGCGGTGGGTGGGGGCCCTAAAGTAAAATAAGGGGGGGGACCTATAGTCCTCCCCCCCCGGCCCCCACCCCTAAGCGGCGGGTGGGGGCCCTAAATAAAAATGTTACCCCCCTCCCAAAATTTATTTATAAATCCTACCTACCCCCCTCACCCTAAAAACAGTGAGGGGGGGGAACAATGACTAAGTACCTGTAAAAAAAAAAAAATACTTACCGACGAGCCTTTTACCCAAGAAGATAGAGATAGAGATATATATATATATATATATATATATATATATATATATATATATATAAAAAATACAAACCTTATTTTAATCAACTGAAAAAAAAAGACACAGAAGAAGCAAATTTATTACAGGGTAGTACTGAAAGAAGAGGAAAGGGGTGTTGGGGAGGAGGCGTGGTCTCTAAGTTCATGTGGGTGGCTCTGAAGAACCCAATGTGAGTTACCTTGTGCTTGTATATTTTCCTTTATTTCAATCTACTGTCCAAGTGAAGTAATGGATGCTGTGGTTTGTTCTTGATCAATAATTCGATGTGTTCCATGCGCAACTCGGTATTATGAGTTTGTCTATTCTGTTATTTCAAAATGAGTAGAAAGTAGACCCACATCTCGCATGCCTCTTTTGTGGCTTTGCTAGTGTGGAGCGGATTTGTTGCCATTTTTTTTTCATACAAGCAGATAATAGATATCTGGTGTATCAGGTCTGTAAATTGACAATCTTTCTGTTGTGAATGTTTTGCTAAGAGCGATTTCACTAGAAGGTCTGAGAACACAGTCTCTGAAGCACAGCACATTGGACACATTGCAGCAGATCTCCTTTACCACACTGTCATGCAGCTCAATTCTGTATATCTAACGCTGTGGTGCTAGTTGTAGTCAGACTCCCCCCACCCTCAGTGCAAAAAATAAAATTAAAATTAAAATATTTATCTTTTTACAGCACCAAGGCTCCCTTACTCCTGTTCATCTCCCCAGCGCCAGCTGAGTCATTGAGCAGCATTGGGGACCTAATGAGCATGCATGGTGAGCCCTGTGTGCACATTCAAACTTTCCCATAGGAAAGCAATGAATCAATGCTTTCCTATAGGGCTTCTCCTGTATATGAGTTTTACGTTGTCAGAGCAGGAAAAGCGCCTCTAGTGGCTGTCATACTGGCAGCCACTACAGATGGACTTGACCTTGCAATGCAAAAATTGCAATTTCTCATAAACTGCCATGATTTACATTGCAGGGCTAAGGGGACAGGGACACCACACCCAGATCATATAATTGAGATGTAGTGGACTGGGTGACTACAGTGTTCCTTTACTGTAAGGATTCTATTCAGCCATCCTTAATAAGCAAGGCCACATTATCTAATACAAACCATGAACTGTCAAGATATGCAGCTGGTTAGGTATAGGAACAAGCTGAGACGGCTGTATTTTAGGCAATGTGTGCCACTGAAACATCTCACAGAGCACCAGTTGCTTTTACTTCCTTGTAACCAAACATTTTTTTGAAACCCAAGACATGCAACATGTTCATGGTTGCTGCTTTCGACTCAACCTGGTGTCCCATGCCAATCTTGTGCATAAAAAAACAAAACATTGGTTCATAGTCCTCTCCTCATCTTGCACCATGGAATAAATAAAGATATTGCTGGCACAAGCACTGGGATAAATGTACCTAAATGCAAAGTCTAGGCAAAGGGACTTGGAGACAAAATAAGTAATGGATCCCAATACTCCTGCTAAGTACATCTGCAAAGAATCTCCCAAGTGCCGTAGTGATTATAGTACTGAATATAGCTCTCAATCCCCAAAACATTCCTCTTAATCCAGGCTCAATGGCCTGCTTTTATTCAATAAAGGGACACCCCAAAATGCCATGTCACCATGACTAAGCATAAAATGACGAATTATAAAAAAAAACAAAAAACAAAAAACACAAAAAAATACATATTTCAGCTAGAGGAACTCCCATGGTTCATACATCCCCCAATAGCCTGAATCTGAGCTCCCAACATATCCGAAAAGCGCTCAGATCCCATGAACGAGTTTTGACCAAACGCTCGCGAGGCGCCTGCCCAAAATAGTTCCATTGTCTTAGAGGTAACGGTCGGTCATGTTCGGGAGTTCCAAAATGACCGAAAAGGAGAACGGTTCCCCTGGCTCATTGGTAGCATTTGTTCGTGGGGTCCATATGAACAAACCTACCGAACAGCGCTCTCCTGGCTTGCCGCAAAAGGAAGCAGGCGCTCGCGTAGTTTCACTGGTGTTTGCGCAGTCGAGTGTCCATCTTGGAGTTTCAGACACTCGACGACCAGGTCCCGCTGTCTGCTTTCGTGCGCCAAGAAGGCTGCCGCTTACTCCACCAGGTGGCGTTCGGTTATACTAACGCTGGCCACACAGAGAGAGCACTTAATTCTTGCGTTTTTTTTTTAACTTAATGAGCCAGGGGGTGGTCGGTGTTCGGTACTTTATAATACTGAATGTGAGGAAGGCATAAAACAAAGTTTAGACTGGATTCCCGAACTGAGGAAGAGAACAGCTCCTGGGAAGGCAAAATAGGGGTTTTGTAACACACATCCTCGAAAATGGCTGTGTTGCTCTCAACTTCCATGTCTGTGTATGTAAAACCAGACCTGGTGGCTCAGTAGCCCCTCAATCTTTAACAGCACTTCACACTATATGGCTCCTACACTTTATTTTAAACAGAGGTTGAGAAGTGACCCATATTTGTAGTATATATATAAAAAAAAAAAAGTTTTCTCCAGTTAATGTACATTTTCTAATTAAAGGACCACTATAGTGCCAGGAAAACATACTCGTTTTCCTGGCACTATAGTGCCCTGAGGGTGCCCCCACCCTCAGGGTGCCCCTCCCGCCGGGCTCTGGGGGGCAGGAAGGGGTTAAACTTTCCTCTTTCTCCAGCGCCGGGCAGGGAGCTCTCCTCCTCCTCTCTGGCTGAATGCGCATGCGCGGCAGGAGCTCCGCGCGCAGCCAGTCCATTCACAATGCTTTCCTATGGACGCTGGCGTTGTCTCACTGCGATTTTCACAGTGAGAAGCACGCAAGCGCCTCTAGCGGCTGTCAAGAGACAGCCACTGGAGGCTGGATTAACCCTAACATAAACATAGCAGTTTCTCTGAAACTGCTATGTTTATTAAAAAAAAAGGGTTAACCCTAGAAGGACCTGGCACCCAGACCACTTCATTAAGCTGAAGTGGTCTGGGTGCCTATAGTGGTCCTTTTAATTAAAAGTAAATTAACAAACCCATTAAAATAACCATTTTCCAGTGCAAGAACACATTCCTCAATACAGCTTGTTCCTCCTCCATTGCTAACAAGAGAAGGATTTGGGACACACGGCGCATGTGTGGTAAATGCTGCAATTCTCCAATCCAATGATTGTGTATAAGCCTTGAAACCAATGCTTCTAAACAAGAAGCACTGGATGCGCACACAGTAAATGTCAAATAGATTTAATAAGCAAATCATTAGAAGCACCTACCGGAGGTCTGTCTGACAGCCTGCAAAGTGAAAACAGTGTCTCAAAAACTACAGTTAACAGCAGCAAGGCTACAGGGGCAGCATCTACACCCCCAAATTACTTAATTAACATGAAGTTTTCATGGTGCTTAGACTGTCTCTTTAACATGAACACAAAACCATAAATATCAGGATTCCTTGATTTTTACTTCCTTGTAACCACAGGCTAGTCCATGTTTAACAGGCAGAAATAACTGCACAAATGTGCACACAAAAAAGAAAATCACATTACAGCATCTACTCCTCTATAATTGCGATAGTTTGCAGAGACAGACAGTACCTGAATCTACTGCACTGGACATTTTCCTTCCCTGCTTGCAGAAGGCAGGAAGGAAGGTCACACACACAATGCCTTGTGGGATATATAGTTTCATGTTACTCTCTGGAATGCAGTGACAGGTTCCTAGAGAGAATAACATGCCGTTCACCTGATCTCATAAAATCACTTATTTACACAGAATGTGACAGATTGTGTAGGGGTAATTGTAAACAGACTAAGCAACAATTTTGCAGCAGTTCTATATATTATAATAGCTAGGACACATAGCTCACAGCTGAAACTGCAAATATTTATGTGCAGCTAAACACATTTAAAAGTGGTAGTAACAAATTAAAGGGACACTCCAGGCACCCAGACCACTTCTGCCCATTGGATGCTAACTCCCACTACCCTTAACCCTGCAACTATAATTATTGCAGTTATCATAAACTGCAATAATTACCTTGCAGGGTTAACTCCTCCTCTAGTGTCTGTCTACACTACACACTTCCTGCTTCATAGCACAGGTTTTCTGTGCTAGAGCATTGCTGGACGTCCTCACGCTGTGTGAGGACCCCCAGCGTTGCTCAATTCCCCATAGGAAAGCATTGAAAAGCATTTTCAATGCTTTCCTATGGAGAGCTCTAATGCACATGCACGGCATTGCTGCGCATGCGCATTAGGGCTCCTCAGCCGGTGGGCGGGTTCAATCTCCCCTGCCGGCTGACGTGATGAAGGGGGGGAGCGGCGGCGACCCAAAACCACCGCCGAGGGACTGTCACTCGGCGGGGGTCTCAGGTAAGTCACTGAAGGGGTTTTCACCTCTTCACCAACCGGGGATGGGTGGTGGGAGGGAAAGGGGACCTGCAGTGCCAGGAAAACAAATTGTTTTCCTGGCACTGGAGAGTCCCTTTAATATAAATAATATATAGGAAAAAGCATCTGTCTCTTATGGCTTTTTCCATTATGAAAACCTGTCTTTTAGAGAGAACATCTAGATGGAAGCATTATCAAAAAAAGGAACCTGCTCATTTGAGAAAAAGTATCTATGTATCTACCATATATATCAATATACTGTACAATTCTGGGAAATGTCCATCCAAAACAGCTGGAGGCTAAATGTTGGACATTCCTGTATATATTTAAATTGCTGTTAAAAATTCTAACTGTCCCTGCTAAACAGTTATATGATAGCAATCACAATTATTCATTTTTAAAAAAATGCAGATAAAATAATGCTTATCAGCTCAGAGTTGAGTTTATCTTTGTTGAAAGTCTTTCTGTTGAGAGGCCTTAAAGGACCACTCTAGGCACCCAGACCACTTCAGCTTAATGAAGTGGTCCGGGTGCCAGGTCCAGCTAGGGTTAACCCATTTTTTCATAAACATAGCAGTTTCAGAGAAACTGCTATGTTTATGAATGGGTTAAGCCTTCCCCTATTTCCTCTAGTGGCTGTCTCATTGACAGCCACTAGAGGCGCTTGCGTGCTTCTCACTGTGATTTTCACAGTGAGAGCACACAAGCGTCCATAGGAAAGCATTATGAATGCTTTCCTATGTGACCGGCTGAATGCGCGCGCAGCTCTTGCCGCGCGTGCGCATTCAGCCGACGGGGAGGAGAGAAGGAGGATTGGAGGAGAGCTCCCCGCCCAGCGCTGGAAAAAGGTAAGTTTAACCCCTTTTCCCCTTTCCAGAGCTGGGCGGGAGGGGGTCCCTGAGGGTGGGGGCACCCTCAGGGCACTATAGTGGTCCTTTAAGAGTACATGCTATGGACTGTAACTCACAACACTGTAAGCCAGGCAACGTCATAACTTTGTCTGCCTTAATGGGATACTGAAAGGGTAAATTTCAGTTCAACTGAATCATAAGACTAACAGCCCTAAACATTGCAAGGACATCACATGCGTAGTTTGGCACATGACCCTCTTTGCTCCTCCCTTTTCTAAAAAGACCCTACCTCTACACCCTCCTATACTAAGAAAATCACACCTATTACAACCCCTAGATAAATGCTAGAGCTATGATTTGTTATATGCTTCACCATGCTGTTTGCACAAGTTGCTCATGATGTTAGTTAATGGTTGTCAATATTTGATTGATAATTAATGATACTGCCCCTAGACTCCCCTTTATTGCATGTTATTATAAAACCTTGGTTCTGGTAAACCCCTTAAAGGGGCACTCCAAACCCCACAAGCACTTTAGCCTGCGGAAAAAAAGCTTTATATTTTAAAAGTGTGTCCTCTTTTTTTTCATTTTAGAAATAGTGCAGATTTCAATAGAAATTGCCACTTTTTTTTTTTTAATTCTTTATTTTTGCATGACAAGAAAAGCGACATAGAGAATGCATATTGGCTTGCGCAGAAGCCCCATACAATGGTGTAAGCTAAGCACCTTTTCCCCCATGGTAGTACCCAGAGGTGGGGTTGCTCCGAAACGATATGTCGCCGTCCGTCACGGTTTTTACCCTATATATAAGCCTAGTTTTATGTCCACTGTTATGTGTGCCCTCTCATCCATCCTTCGCACCACCAGTGTAGTTTCAAACCCTCAAGTGCATGGCTATCGGGCTGCTGCTGTCTGTTGCCTGTCTACCCTCCCGACCGCTAGTTTCAGCCCCCTCCCGCTGCACTCCCCATCTCGCCTCCGTCTGGTGCATCTTGAGTATACTGCTGGCACTCTCTACTAGGCTAAATCCCTCAAGAGGGGATTAAAGAAACAAGAAGAAATGGAAACAGAATGTGGCAAGGGGTGTAGCCGCTTGCACTATTTGTGGCTCGTAGCAGATTGACAGCTTATAAGACATTACAGAATACGATTTTACGATTCTGGAGCTCAATTGCTAGCTAGCTTTATTATCTATTATATTTTGTAGAGAAGTGCCCTTGTAAACACAGTTATTTATTACAATAATTTTCGTTCTTTCTTTCTCTTTCAATTGCTTGCAGTTAGTTTCTCTATCCTACAGGTGCCCTCGAAGGCACAGATTTATTTCTATCTTCCTACTACATCTACCTTTGTGGTCTATATAGAACGGATTATTTTTAGAAGGTAGTATTTTGCACATCATCATATTATATATATACAATCCTAACTGCAGCTGTGTAGCTAAATTAGACAGCTCTGTCTAAGCTGTCATACCACCAGAGCATTTTATTTTCATTTTATTTTCGTTTATAACATTATAATTTACAGTAGCAGACGTTTTTTTCTTTATTTGCAAAGCTTGACTAAGAATACTTTGGACACATTGAAAGTATTCTTTACGAATTTTTGTAGCAGATGCTCCTCTTGCCACTTGCAAAGTCTGTTTTCTGTAACAAACATTGCAACAGTATCATTATAGCAGACGCCGTCTCTCTATATTCACAAAGTTTAATCAATTATACTTTGGACACATTGAACTACAGCAGCAGACGCTTTCTGTTTGGTTGCAAAGTCTGACTAACTATAAAATACACTAGATACATTGCAATAGTACCATCATAGCAGACAGTTTCTATCTATTTATCCCTAACTGTCATTTATATTTCTGACATTTAGACACTGTCCTTTTTGGGTTTTTAATCTTATACTTTCTCATATGATCTTTTTGGGTCTTGATATATATATATCTAGACCAAATATGACTCTATATGTGAAATGATCACTTTGTATTCCGTTCACTATTAAAAGTTAAATTTTAAACTATATACTTTTTTGGTAGTGCTCCTCTCTCTTTTTCCTCAACTATAGATACACCCACAGCAGTTTACCCGCAACAAACTTACCAGCACACCGGCTCTAGACAACACTACCCCTACTACCAAAGGGGCACAGACAGACAACGGGGTGGTCGCGCATATACCCGTGCAAGAGTCCCCACAGGTAAGAGACCAACACTTATCAATGTCTCAACTAAACACGACTGCCGGCCGTGTTTCTCTTTGTTCCCAGAATTGGGCAAAACTACAGATCCTATGGGTGTTACAGAAGGTCAATGTGCACCACATCGAATTACGAATGTTCCCCGTGCAGAGGTACCCTCCTCGTCCCTTTTACCTCTCAACTTCGGACGCTCACCTCATAGAAGTGGAGCTCCGCAAACTACGCATGAAGGGCACTATACAACCCATTTGCAAACAAGGGGGCTTCTTCAGCATCATGTTCCTCGCCTGCAAGAGATTGGTGATAAATTTAAAAGATTGGAACGCCCAGGTGACCTACCGCCACTTCAATTTGGTAGACATACACTTACTAAGGGACCTCCTTCAAGAAGGGGACTGGTTTACACGTCTAGATTTCAAGGACACATACCGGTCGATCCCAATTCACGAAGTCAGTCGCCCCTTCCTTCGGTTACTGCGGCACGGCTTTCCATGACAATTCACTTGCCTCCCTCTTTGACTAAACTCCGCACCAGTGTACTTCACCAAAATGTTGAGATCAGGGGTAACACACATCAAAACGCAGGGGATCAGATGTATCACTTATCCGGACGACATACTCTTAGTCTGCAGAACGAGAGAACTGGCCGTACAACATACCGACTATACGGTACAATTGTTGGAGTCCCCAGGTTTCATCGTCAACAGAGCCAGACCAGGAATGACCCCATGCAAGAAATTAAATTCCTGAGCTTGGAGATAAACTCCATGTCTCGCATACTCCTGTCGACCAAAGCGACGGCCATCAGGAAAGAGATCCGCAGAGTACTCAAGCTAGACTCCATTCCACTCCGAAAACCGGCGCAGATCGTTGGCCTACCCTCCTCACCAAGACAAGCCATATTTCCAGGCCCCTGCTTTTTCGTGCCATGCAACGGTTGAGAGCCCACTTCCTTCGATGGAGCGCCACGTATAACCAACCAGTTCAGCTGACGGACGATGTGTGCCAAGAACTTGGATGATGGCACAACTGCATGCAAGCATGGAACGGTTGGGCCATCTCCGGCAACCACCCGAACTTCGTACCAGAATCGGACGTGAGCCGACTGGGATGGGGCGCCACTGGTGGAGAGGCATCCACGGCAGGAACATGGACAACCCAGGAAACTCTCGATGCATATCAACTGCCTCGAACTACTAGCGGGGTCATTTTGCTATACGCAACCTAACGAAAAGACAATCCAATTGTTGGACAACATATCTGCAGTACAGTACATCAACAACTTGGGAGGGACTCGTTCACAAATATTGGCGAATTTGAAGAAGGAAATCTTCGTCTACTGCCTCCCATGCATAATCATGATTCGTGCAGAACAGCTACTTATCTGCAGGGCGATCTTGGACCAGTTGGGGCATGGGATGGAACCTGGATCCCTTTACTGCACCTGTTTCCAAGATCATGAACTTCCTCTCGTCAACCTTCAAAGAAGGTAAGTCGTCATCGATCTCCTATACGTTCTTCACCTGGGACCCCCAACTGTGTGTGGTCAAGGCCTGGCGTGCATTTGTGGCGGCAGCAGAGACGTTATCCACAGACAGACTGACAGCTATGGGTGTCATATGTTAACCTTCACGGTTCGGTTTCGGTCACAACACTGGCCAAATTGATCAATGGATCCTCTCCCTAACCGGTTTAGGCCCGTCTTTTGACGCACATTCTGTGCGAGGGGCAACAACATCATTGTTTTTTTTCTGGCGGGTGCGTCCCTAGCAGACATATTAATAGCGGCGGACTGGTCCCGCGAACCGACGTTCCAGACATTCTATTTCCGTCTGTTGTTCAACACCGCGTTCGCTCGTCTACCTAAGCATTAAAATTGCAAAATATGAAGCCTCCTGTCATGTTGTAAAATTGAAGATTATGCTAGCACATATTTTACCCCCCTTTTCGACTTGACATTCCGACCCTAATCTGAGGTAAATTAGAATTAATGGGTACTAGTCTAATTCTAAAGATTAAACATTTATACTGATATGAACTATGGTTTGGATTGCTGATGTTTATATCATTGTGGATTGACTCTATATGATAACATTTATGGTTAGTCAGATTAGTCATTATAAGGATTTACATATATACTCATAGACTTATGTTTTCATACGGTCGATTCCGTATCACTGATACTAGTCTCTCTTTTCTTTTAGTTTAACAAATCTTATGGATTACTAGGATGACTCAATTCCATTATCAGTTTCAAGTTGGATCAAGCTGGATCGGACATGTTATTTGTTACATTATTGACTTGTGATGTCGCATTAGTCAAGAGGAAATGATTGGTCATGCTTGGACTTATATATACTCTGACTCGCTCTGATTGGTTCTTTATTTCAACTATTTTTTTCTTTGCTGCTATGGAGTTAGTAAAGAAAGTTAATGCTAAATATTTGCATTCTGTCATTATTAAAATTAAGATTATTAGTACACTGCGCTAGCATAATCTTCAATTCTAGGGGCAGCAATTGTCATGAGCACCTTATTGATCTGCATTGGGAAGTCTGTGATTGGACAGTTACATAAAGTCTGGGCGGGGTTAGAAGGGGAGGGCTTGCAAAGACAGCAGACAAGAGAACTGCAGTTGTAGCAAGCTGTTTATAGCTAGAACTCCAGTTAAAAATGCATAATTATAACCATGTAAGTTTTCATTTGGGGTTTACCTACTAAACAGTGATTTTTATTTATTCCGTATTTGGGCAGTGGAGTGTCCCTTTAACCACTTAAGGACAAAGCCAATTGTACAAGTTCTAATCAAAACAAAACCTGGAATTTGAGCTATATGTCTGCTCAATCATAAATTTACCTCTTTCATATTAAGTGCACCCACATTTCTTATATAAATTTTTACTGAGGAGATATAGGACTTTCATTTCACATCAAATATTTATATACAAGATAAAATGTAATATGTATAAAATTGTGAAAAATTAAGAAATTTTAATATTTTCTTAGTTCTGCGTGGAACATTAACCAGGAATGTCATAATACTGTTAGTTACATAGCTGAAAAGAGACTTGCGTCCATCAAGTTCAGCCTTCCTCACATTTGTTTTTTGCTGTTGATCCAAAAGAAGGTTAAAAAAAAAACCCAGTGTGAAGCACTTCCAATTTTACAACAAACTAGGAAAGAAATTCCTTCTTAGCTTTTACTGCAATAAAATACACACATTTGTGTTCAGCGATGCGTCACCAATATAACAGTACCCACGATTTGCAGGTTTTATGGGGTATCGAAAAGTTACAAGGTCAAATATAGATTGGTTTGCTGGGCCTATATTGCTGTAGGTCTAATGGCAGCCCAGGAATAAAAATTACCCTCATCATAGCATACCATTTGCAAAAGTAGATAACCCAAGGTATTCAAAATGGGGAATGTCCAGTCTTTTTTAGTATCCACTTAGTCAAAAAGACTGGCCAAATTTAGCATTCATATTTGTTTTTTGTTGTTGCATTTTTTTTACAAATAAACTGCCATATCACTGATGATATTGTCAGTATTTTCTGCTCTAAAACACATATATTGAGTAGAGTAATGTCTCACGAGTTCAACAGTATAGGAGTAATGTCTCACGAGTTCAATCATGTATAGGTTTTATGGTGTTTTGGAAAGTTACAGGGTCAAGCCTTGCCCATTTCTGTTTTTACACATTGAAATTTGCAAGATTGGTTATGTTGTCTTTGAGACCGTATCACAGCCCAGGAATAAGAATTACCCTTCGCATGAATATTATTTGCAGGGGGCGTGGCCTGACAGCCGACGGACATGGCCGCATGAGCGCGAAGCTCCGGACCCAGACCGGGTAATCAGGGGGGCAAACGGCACTTACTGACAACAATGGCATCCAAAAAACACCGCAGCACCGCGGGGCAAGCTCCTGCCTCCGAAACACCGGCAGCCAAAACCTCCCTGCGGCGCTTTTTCGGCGATCACACGGAAGCACACAGACGGGACAAAATGGCGCCCGCGGCACAAACGCGAGGCAGCCAGCCCCCGAGCCCAACAGCATCAGATGAGCCCACAGAGGAACAAGATATACGGTCCTTGCTGACCCAACTACCCTCCAAGACCGACCTGGCAGCCTTATTTCAGAAACTGGAGGACAGCTTCAGTGAGAAGCTACAGGCTGTTAATGCAGACGTGCAGCTGCTAGGGGACAGAGTCCAGGCTCTGGAAGAAGAGGCAGAAACTACTGAAAAACAATGGGCTGAGTCCTATGCTACCCAGGAGACACACGCAGAGGCAATCAGGTACCTGCAGAGACAGCTTGAAGATGTAGATAACAGAGGACGCAGGAATAACCTGAGGGTGAGAGGTGTCCCTGAGAGTGCAGAAGGGGTCCCAGAAAACCCTGTGCAGCTTCTGACAGCCCTTTTCAACCGCATTTTAACCAGACCACTGGACACTGCCATTTTATTTGATAGAGCCCACAGAGCGACCAGACCTAGGAACCTGCCTCCAGATAAACCACGGGACATTATTTGCCGCATACATAACTTCCCCCTAAAGGAAGAAATCTTCCACAAAGCCCGACAGAACAAGGATATCAAGATCGACGGACACCCGGTGATCGTCTTCCAGGACCTAGCGCCATCCACGCTGCAAGCTAGGCGTGCACTACGACCTATCACACAGGCCCTGTCCGAGAGAAATATCAAATTCAGATGGAGCTTCCCGTTCGCTCTCACAGTTACGCTCCAAAACAAAACGCACACTATAACCTCACCAGACGACATACCTGAATTCCAAAGAGCCTTGAAACTACCGTCGTCCGAGGTGGAGGATTGGACGGGCCTGAGAGGCACATCAGTGGGACGGACTCCGCACAATCCTAAGTGGCAAAAGTCCCCTCGAAAACGTCGTAGACAGAACCATCCCAGAGCAGACGCAGCACCGACATGAGCAGTACACGGTCGTATGATCAGACTCTCTCTCTTTTTCCTATCTACCATTTTCTCTCTTAATCCTCCCATGCGAGTACCCACTGCGGTACACCCAGTAAATGGACTGACATTACTTTCCCACTGTGATGCAAATGTTGAAATGTTATATTGTGTTACACTTGGTTATGCCTTTATGAATAACATGTTACATTGCCGTTACCGGGCCCTAGAATTCACGAGGAAAATATAAGGTTAACTTTCCCATCAGGGCCTCAAACGGCCGGGCTCACAGGACACACTCTACTCCCTAGCCGACGCACACCTCTGACCTCCCTGGCTAGGGTAGAGGAGGTAGGCTGTATCACTTCTACAAAGCCCTGTGAGACCCCCCCACCCCCCTATGATACACCCGGTCGGGTGCTCCGGCCACCACCCCCCAGAGAGGCGCCACAACCCCACTTGTGGACACAGCGAGTTATCCACAAGTGTAGCGCTAATCTCAACGCCAGAGATGGCTCTCATCTACTGTTTTAATGTACATAGTTTACAGTTATCCCCCGTCCACCTCCCACCAAACACCCCTGCCATTACTATCGTACTAAAGGTACTACCGACAGGTGCTCCCCATGTCCTATTTGAGACACTCTCACCATCGTTCCTACCACCATGACTCAAACCAAACTGATGTCCCTAAATGTTAGGGGTCTCAATTCACCCATGAAACGCACAATGCTAGCACAGGAGATCGATAGACGAGGTGCCGAAATAATTTTCGTGCAGGAGACGCATTTCAGGGGAGAGTTCAAACCAAGAATCCACTATAAATGTAGTAACTTAGCATACTACAGTAACAACACCCAAAAGAAATCCAGAGGCGCTGCAATACTCATAGCCTCCACAGCCGCCTTCACAGAAATGGGAGTTAGAACTGATCCCAGAGGCAGATTTGTCTTTGTAAAAGGAATGTACAATGGCACTTAGATGCTAGCCAGAGTTACCAATATCCCTAATGCAGACCAGACCTCCTACATACGATCATGTTTGACAAAGTTAGAGACATTTGCCGAGGGAGTGGTAGTGGTGGGCGGAGACTGGAATATGGTCCTTGACCATTCAATCGACAGCTCTTCCACCACTACAGACACCAGACGACATCAAAGGAGGATGTTCACTAACGTGCTACACGCACACCAATTATCTGACTGCTGGAGGATCATGCACCCTCAAGGCAGAGACTATTCGTACTACTCTCAGACAGCTAAAAGCTACTCCAGAATAGATATGTTCATGGTCAGCCATAGACACCTCCCCATGGTCCAGGACGCATCCATAGGCAACATTACGTGGTTGGATCATGCCCCGATCCTCTTAACTCTCACACTACAGGATAGGTCCAGGCCTACTACACAGGGGCGCCTGAACGAAACCCTACTAGACGACCACAGAGTATTGGAGGATCTACGGCAGACTGTAGCGACCTACTTTAAGGAGAATAGTGGCACTGAGGTGTCAGATCCTTGGGTGTGGGAGGCCCACAAGGGAGTCATCAGGGGTATACTTATTAAGTGGGGCGCACGACTTAAAAAAGAAAGGTCACACAAACTAGAGGCGCTCACGGCAGATATAACAACAGCGGAGACCCGCCATAAACAAGACCCCACGAACGACAACCTCCAAAAATTAACAGCCCTACGACTTGAATTCCGAACCCTCCTGACTACTAGGGCATACAGATCTATCCAACTGACAAGGGGGACGTTCTACGCACAAGGAAATAGGAGTGGGAAACTTTTGGCTAGGGCCTTGAAAGCCAAACAGCAAAAGTCTTTCATAAATAAAATAGTGGGCGACTCAGGCAGACAGCACGACACCACGGAAGACATAGCTAAGGCGTTCACCACTTTTTACGCTGATCTTTATAACTTGACCCCACCGACGACACAACCACATACCCTGTGGAACTACATTTCTGACAACATATCTTGCAGGATCCCAGTAGACCAGATCCATACACTGGACGAACCTTTTACACACGCAGAACTCCTCTCCACAATCAAAACACTCCCGAACGGTAAAAGCCCTGGTCCAGACGGACTGACAGCCAGATACTACCGAACCCTAAAACAAGAGCTAGCACCCCACTTCCTACACACGCTGAATGGCCTCGCACTCGACTCCACACTGCCACCCCCGATGCTACGGGCATCCATTACCATCATCCCCAAGCCAGGCAAGGATCCCACAAGATGCGGTAGCTATCGACCCATATCGCTCATAAACCTAGACCTAAAACTAATGGCGAAAATGATCGCCAATAGACTCAAGCCTCTTCTACCCAGCCTGGTCCACCCTGACCAGGCGGGCTTCGTGCCAGGTCGCGAGGCTAGGGACAACACCACGAAAATCCTAAATGTCATTCATGGAGCGCAGGTGACCAGGACACCGACCCTGCTGATGGCAATAGACGCCGAAAAGGCCTTTGACAGGGTAGACTGGACATACCTGTTCAGGGTCTTGGAGGCCTTGGGAGTGGGCCCTAGACTACGCAATTGGATTCAAGCCCTATATAGGGGATCCTCGGCAACCGTCAGGATAAATGGACAATTCTCCACCCCGTTTCCAATAAGCAACGGCACACGACAGGGCTGCCCTCTGTCGCCCCTCTTATTTGTTTTGGCTATGGAACCTTTCCTGAATGCAATCAGGAAACACGGTGAAATAAAGGGCTACCACCACCGAGGAGGGGAAGTGAAGGTGTCAGCCTTCGCGGACGACATCCTTTTCTCAATCACAGACCCCACCATCACACTACCACGAATCAACTCAGAGATACAAACCTTTAGCGCCCTCTCGAATTTTAAGATTAACACAGATAAGTGTGAGATTCTGGGGATCTCAGTCCCCCCAACCCTACAAACACGACTCCAAAGGCTACACCCGTTCCCCTGGGCTAGGACAGGACTGACCTACTTGGGTATAAAACTAGCTTGTTCCACAAGCAGCCAATACAGACTTAATTATCCCCCCCTCCTAGACGGCATCAAACGGGACCTCCTAAAATGGGATCTACCCCACTTCTCTTTGATAGGGCGGATCAGCATCATCAAGATGATGGTCCTCCCGAAACTACTATACCTCTTCCAGGCACTGCCTATCCCACTCCCGAGTACATTCTTCGCGCAAACACGCACATGCTTTACCAAATACATATGGGGCAATAAACCAGCGAGAATTGCCTACACTACATTGACCTCCTCTGCAGGCAGAGGCGGACTGGGCTTACCCAACCTCTACAAATATTATATAGCGGTGCTGCTTACCCGATTAAAAGAGTGGACCGACACCGCCAGGACCAAATCGTGGTACTCCCTGGAACAAAGCTTTGTCTCTGTCCCATTACACTCCCTGCCCTGGCAAACCTGCCACCCCACAGCGCACACCCCTACGAAACATCCATTAATACATAACATCCTGACTATATGGAGAAAGTATAAAGACATATGGGGACTAACCAAATGTCTCTGTCCCATTACACTCCCTGCCCTGGCAAACCTGCCACCCCACAGCGCACACCCCTACGAAACATCCATTAATACATAACATCCTGACTATATGGAGAAAGTATAAAGACATATGGGGACTATCACCCGGCATATCGCGGTTTTTCCCTATAGCGGCCAATCCTGATTTCCACGGGGGCCCACTCCTTACCCGCCTCTTAGACTCCCCCACCCCAAAGATAACAGAACTGATTGGGGGCAACCCACCCATTATACAGGCTATAAACAACCCACTTAGGCAAGACACACTCCTTGAGGTAATAGGAAGAGCACAACTTAAGGCCTTCCTGAGAAGATCGGTCCTACCCCACTGGAGGCAGAGAGCAGACACACACTTTGAGACCCTTTGCGGCCCAGAGGGGGACCCAAAACGCCCCTTATCCAAAATATACCACATTTTGCAAGACACCGGAAGGGAACCCACAACCTTATCATTCCAACAGAAATGGATGAAAGACCTCCGTATACACATTTCTGACAAAGACTGGTCGAACATCTTAGAAACAGGCATCAAAACCCCGCTTAGCGTAGCACACAAGGAAGCATTTTATAAAAGGGTCACCCGATGGTACAGAACCCCAGATAAGTTGCACTCAATCTGGCCGTCCATCAGCGGCTCGTGCTGGAGATGCTCCAATGGCCGCGGCGACATGGAACACATATGGTGGAGCTGCAGAGATATCCAGGGATTCTGGTCTCTCATACTCTCAACCATCACAGAAATACTAAAACCACCATCACACCTATCCCCATCACAGATCCTACTAGGTTGGCCCCGCACATTCCCAGAGTCCCATAAACAACAATTACTACAACTCCTACTAGGGGAAGCCAATGCTCTTATCCCCCTAAATTGGCGGACCACCACCGCACCTACCAAAGAACAGTGGATACAGAGGGTAGATCACACAAGAGGCATGGAAGATATACACTGGTCAATGTTGGGGAAAAGACACATACATCTCCAAAGATGGAGCCCCTGGACGGAATACTGGGAGAAACCCTTGGAAGTGCAGGGAACTTAGATGCCCTTAGAGTAACGCACCGAAGACCCAGGCATGTTGGCGACCTACAGCCCCAATTTGAGTCACCTTGGTAGACACCGCTCAAGGCACACTCACTACTATATTAAGTTGATGTAAGAGGCAGGACACCCCTAGCCCCTACCCCTTCCCCTGTTTCATGCTCTCACCCACGGCCCGTTGCCGAACTTAGTTGCATACCGACCCTTCCAACGACCTATAACAAGAGTGCCCCGTATCCGATTAAATAATACAGGAATACACATATTATTAAAACCGCCCCAGGAACAATGCAGACATCACACCAAGGAACAAAATGATATGTGTAATAGCACGAACTGTTAGATGACCCTATTGTGTATGCATTGAATGCCACCTATTTCTTTTTTCTGTATCCCATACACGTTTACTTTCGGAAATAAAGAAAAAGTGAAAAAAAAAAATATTATTTGCAAAAGTATACAACCCAGGGTATTCAAAATAGGGTATGTCCAGTCTTTTTTAGTAGCCACTTAGTCACAAACCATGGCCAAAGTTAGTGTTAATATTTGTTATTGCATTTTTCATCCACAAACGGCACTTGCACTGATGAAATCTTTGTCATGATACGTTTTACTGTTTTGAAACACTCATCTTGGCGTTCAGCGAAGTCTCACGAGCTCAACAGCACACCCCATGTACAGGTTTTATGGTGTTTTCTTAAAATTTAATTCTAAGTGTATTCTTAAATTAATATATATCATTATATATACACTGATGAGACAGCCACTAGAGGCTGGATTAACCCTAACATAAACATAGCAGTTTCTCTGAAACTGCTATGTTTATAGAAAAAAGGGTTAACCCTAGCTGGACCTGGCACCCAGACCACTTCATTAAGCTGAAGTGGTCTGGGTGTCTATAGTGGTCCTTTAAGCGATTCCAGAGCCTCGGCGCTTGGTCAGCACTCCACCTCCTCCGAAGTCATCTCATGGGGGGGGAGTGAGGGCTAATGCACACGCGTGGCAATCACGTTAGGGCCTACCCATAAGAAATCATTGCTACAAGAGAGTGAGGACGTCCAGTTACGTGACCAAAAGTCAGTTAGCCACCAGGAAGTGCCCTTATTGGCACTGATTGACAGCCGCAAGAGCCAGTCTTAGTCCTGCAATGTAATCATTGCAGTTTCTCTAAAACTGCAACGATTTACATTGCAAGACTAAGTGGCACTGGGACACTGCACCCAAACAACTTCAATGAGGTGGTCTGGGTGACCATAGTGCCTTTTTAAGTTACTCAGTCACTGCATAGAGAAACTGGTTTCACTGCTTTTGGAATAGATCCAAAGCATTGTAAATGCTAAGAGTCAAGTTAATTCGCTCTGTGTTTTTTTTTTTCTTCCACTCTCCTCTTCTATTTATAAAAAATGTGGTACTTTACCTTGATTGCATTCTTTAGATTTTACTTACCTTCTACTAAAGCAGGACTGGAAGTTAAATAAAAATATAAAGAAGGTTTGTAGGTAACCAGTTCAAACATTAAAAAAGGTCTGTATTTCTAAAGGAATGTTTTTTATTCAGAGATAACTATTAGGGATCTGCATATATTCAGAGATAACTAATGGGGATGTGCTTAAAGGGATTGCTGACTGTCAGCAGGTTTCCCCTCTGTTGGATGAAACCGAATGCAATTCCTAAAAATATATAAAAGACACTTAAACCTGTGTTATAAACATCATTGGATTTTCCTAATCAATTTTGCTGAAGGGGTTAAATAGGAGCCGCACTGGCCTGGCAGTGTCAAGGTATTTACCCCAACACAGAGAATATGAAACCACCAGGGGCAGACACATAGAAATGTACTACCGGTCCTTAGAGTAACAGAGAGGTTATAGAAAAACTGGAGTCAGCAGGTACCGGAGATCAGGTAAGCGAGAGACAAGGATACCAGGGAATAGTTTATACCACAGTATAAACACACTATTAGGACCAGAAGCAAATCAGGGCAATGATCATGAGGCGGACTGGAGTATACCTATAGAGGCTTTGTGTCACTATTATTATACATGAAAGCAACACTAGAATTCATTCAAAAGTGACTCCAGAAGGAAGTAAGGGATTAGCGTCAGCATAGGCACAAGAATGATGAAAGCCATGGGAGATGCTGCAGCCACACAAAGGTAATCTTACAACCAGGAAGCTGGAAAACTTCTCAGTGGACTGCTGCATCCTGGGTCTGGCACAAGGCTACTGATGGGAAAAGAAGATATTAAACGGAGTGGATGGAGCCAGTAGCAGTGGGGTGATGGAAGGAGCAGCCGCTTGAGGGCCCTGTTACAGCCACACAGGGAGTTGTTCTGCCACAGCGTTACAGCATTCATGTAAATATTTAGATATACACAGTGCAGGTAAGTCTTTTATTTATTTTAATTTTCAATATAATCTGACTTTATACATTGTCTACAAACAATATATTTATATGTTAGTGTGTATCTCTATTTGAAATCAGCACTTTTAAAACGCATTTCAGAAAGTGCCACGGAGAGGCAGGGGAACCCCCCCCCCCCGCCTTCTGCCTCAAATACAAGTGTGCCTGTTGGCGCATGTTTGTGTACACCTATAGTGCCCACAACAGCCCTGTTCGCTGACTCCCTGTCTTTTAGCCTGGAGACTTTGAGCTGAAAGCCACAAACACACGTGCTCATCCATGCCCACGACTAAAAATCAGAGGCTTCTAAATGAAAGACCTATAATTGGAGTATTCTTCAGCACAGAGTGAAAATCTGTGCTGGGTAAAAAAGAAGGATGGCTTGCAAAGACTGCAGAAAGCAGAACTACAGCCTCTGCAAGCTGTTTTACATATACCACAATGAACAAATGCAGCAATAAATACATGCGTGTTTTCATTGCGGGTATATCTAATAAACGGTTTAAAAAAAACCAAAACGTTAGAGTAGTCCTTTAATAAAGCAGGACTAATGAAAAGAAAAAAAAGGTTGTATAGGAACAATTATTTCAAGGGGAACTTGCAAAATGGTTCTCCCCTAATATTCCAACTTTAGGAAAAAAGCATCTGCGTGCTACATGCATATACAGACTGCACAATTACTGGTGTTTGTATAATACATACCTTGCATGAGTAGGGCAGGCATGTCACTGTACTTCCCGCCATCTGCCCAGGTCTTCTCCTTAATCTCCTGTTGTTTGCCGGACAAAGATTTGGATGGGGAGCAGTATGAATGAAGGGAATTAATTGCATGTGGCATTAATAGATCCTGTTCTTGTGTAATGAAGCAGTCTTTTAAACCTTTAAAATAACAGGGTTGATCTGCATCTACCAGTGATAACATGTCTGACGTTTCACAATGAGATTCATTTTGTTGAAGGGAAAGTGGAACCATTGACTTCAACCTCAAGGAATGGTCATGTTCCACCTTTACATGGTCCACAGACTCTGGCACATCAGATGAGAAGACACCCCCGATCTCAGCATAATCTTTGCTGTTTTCCGATGAAGAATGTTCATTGCATGCATGTTCTGTCCTTCCTATATCTATTTTATAGCCTTCAGGTTTGGCATTAGATCCTGATTTTTGTGGGGCAGAGGATACAGTTGTCCTGCTATAGGAGTGCAAAGAAGAGATAAATTTACCAGCCGAGGGTCTATTTGATGACACACCAGACATAAGAAGGCTACTTTGATCTTTCAGGTCATTACTATCAAAGATGTCAGTTTGGTATATACCTTCAGTCACAATGTCCTCACCAGGGAGCATAAGAGCCGCCTGATCCTGTATTGTGGGTAAAGGAGTTTTTTGCACAGATTTCTTTTTTACAACTGGTACGCCTTTGCCGTGTGATCTTGTAACCGATTTCTTTTTGCTTGCCTTGCTGTTAAGGAAGACGGATGGCACGGCATTGGGTTTGAGAAGCGGGATCTGATCAGGCATACGCGATACAAAGCTGTCGGAGCTGAAGTGATCGCTGCAAAGGAAAGAGTAAGGGCCGGGGGTCCAATTGCTGCGCTGCAGGGCAACTGTCCAGGTAGCAAGACGAGCCGGGTCTTTTAAAGGAAATCTGTGGGAAAGAAGAAATTATAAAAAACATCAAGAGGAACAATTACTGCAATATAGAAAAAAAAAAAAAAATACCCCAAAAAACATTAATTTTTTTTATACAAGCACAGGTAAAATTTTAACATTGTACCAAGAACAGAAAAGAAACAGCATGAACCCCACACCATAACCATTACTGCATTCTTTACCAGGTGTACCCTGTTTTTTTATCATATTGCCTGCATAATGTTTTCCCAGTGTTTCAGGGTATGAATATTACTGTTTGGCAAAAAAATAAGTCAATGATGTATTTTAAATTATGACCATGTTGTGCTATGACTTGGAAAACATGCCTCCGGAGGCAGAAGTTCCGAACTGCGAAACCCGGAAGTAGTTCTGAGGGATCAAGGTTCGAAATGTATTAACCAATGGGTATAATTTTATTGTAATTTTATTTGAGTGCTCTCACCATTTCTTATATTTTCACTTATGTTTATTGTAGTGGTTATTGTGGCCCACTAAGGTGATTGTAGCACCAGTGTTTATTCATTTATTTTTTCACCGTGTGTTTTTATTGTTCACTTAATGTAAATTGTAGTGAATTGAAATCCAAATGGCAAAATTTAGGTAACAGTAGTAGATTTAGAAAAAAAAATCTCTAACTTTGCTACCATAATGGCTTGACTATTTCAGTCTAAAACATCACATGACCTGCGTCGCCAAACAACGCTGTTAAAATAGGATTACATTATGGAAGTAAGACTATTGCATAAGCAATACTGAGGGTGAGGGCCTGGGACATACATTTTTTTATTTAACAATTTACTCAAAAACTTTTTAGTCGAGAACAGTGGGATGGCAACCATGGCCTAATGGAACCATAACCACTACATTATGATGCCCATAATCCTCCTTTAAAACCATGTGGTAATGAGCTCCAAATGGATTCCTGATAAGTAATTCTGAATCTTAAACATTTACTACAGTCATCTTAAAAAACAGATTTAAAAGATAACAAAACACCAAAAACAACCAAACAAATAAAAACCAAGGTGTACACACAGAGGAAGGTGCAGGAGAAATGTCACACTGAATCTGCTTGAAGGACATGAAGCACAAGGAATCCCTGAAGAGCTCCCAAGGGACAGCACTGTCCGTATGCATAACTTCACATACAAAGAATAACACATTCTATTGATTTTACCAGGCAATCTTAATAACAGCCCGATGCACATACTAGTATACAGGCAGTGTGAGAAGAAGCCCACAAAATTAATTCTTACATCCTGAACACAAGGAAGAAGTAGAGCTAATTAAATACAAATGCATCTAAGTGCCCACAGCTTAAATATTTTAGTAGGAATGTATTCCATGCTCACAATACCACATCACACAAAATCCAACCGCAGAACAGGAGCAGGAGAATAGATATTTTCTCCGCCACATAGTAGAATGTGAAGACGTCTGTAAATTTTATTTTAAAAAAAAATGTATATAGGAAAATAATTCTGAAGTGGATGATGTTTGGTGGAAGCCAGAGGCATAATTAGAAACCACAAGACCTGGTGTGAAAATTGCCCTGGGGCACCCCATGTCCCTGCCCCCCCGCCTGTGTTTCATCCCAACCTGTCCATGTGTATCTCCCACCCCACACCCTCCATATGTCTCATTCTTCCCCCTTAGCCGATCCATGTGTCTCATCCCACGTGTCTCATAAACTCCCAACACCTCCATATGTGTCTCTTGCCCAACACACCATACATCTCTCCCACCGATCCAGCCCCTCCATGTCTCATTCTTCCCCCTTAGCCCCTCGATGTGTCTCACCCCCCCGAGCCCTTCCATGTGTCATCCCACACCAGACCCTCCATGTGTCTCATAAACTCCCAACACCTCCATGTGTCTCTTCCACCCTCCCTATGTGTTTTATTCACCCCCCATGTGTCTCTCCCCCAGACCCTCCATGTGTCTCTCGTCCAACACACCATACGTCTCTCCTACCGCTCCAGCCCCTCCATGTGTCTCTCCCACACCCCCAGCCCCCAATGTGTCTCTTACACCCACCCATGTGTCTCTCCCCTAATTCCTCCATGTATTTTCCCACCCCATCCATGTCTCTCTTCCACAATTCCTCCATGTGTTTCTCTCACCCCTACCCCCTCCATGTCTCTCTCCCTCCTGTACCTGCTCACCTCATGGTAGCTTTGCCGAGCAGACAACAGTGAGTACTGCCTGTCAGACCGCAGTCCGCTCAGCCACACTACATACAGTGACCTGCGCCGAAGACCGGTGTGGTCCTAAAGTGATGCCAGCTCATGATTGCAGGGGTCGATGGGCAGCTGGACCCCCTGAAGTGATAGGCCTGGTCACAGCTGCGACCCCTATGACTGTTAGTTACACCATTGATGGAAGCACAAAGATAAATATAATGCAGAATTTAGTATTTACATAAAGGAGAGGAAAACAGGCACATGGGTGGTTAATGTGTAGAGATACAGAAGGAGAGTATTAGGGAGAGACACAGGAGGTACAAATGGTGAGAGACAAAAGTACATGAAGTAGCTTTAGGAATAAAAAGGTGTATTCCTAACTCAAGAGTGCCCTAGTCACCATTCAGGGTTAAAAAGGTGATTTTACCTCATTCTCTCAGCACTGATCTCTGGTGTTTTGCTCCTCCTTTTGTTCCGCTGATATCATCAAAAAAGATGATCTCAGCCAATCCAATGCTTTCCCATAGGAAAACCACTGGGAGGGTGGACCAATTAGATGGTTGCTCTGAAAGCATATGATTGAAACAGTTGAGTTTTACTCCACCATTTTGGCGGAAGCGCGGTCACTAGAACGGCAGTTTTCCAATGCAGGGTTAAAACAAAGGTGCCTATAGAGTCCCTTAGGACTGAGAGAGTTTAGATAGGATATTTTGTTTCCTGTCTGTAAACCAGAATGTCAGCCTGATTATCTAACCACGGCGCCTTGTTCAGGATCCGGACTGTTAGTGGTAATCAACTTCAGCCTGGGAGCACATGAATGCTGCATACTGCAAGAACCTGCCTGACAAAACACACACTTCAACAGTACCCATAAACAAAATGGCTCAGTTAAACTAAAGGGGTCATTTATAAAAAGTGTAACTTTAAGGAAAGTGGCCTACAGTACAAAAAAAGTAGGGCAATCACTATGGAAACCAGTCGAACCAGCAGGCACATTAAATTGGTGATTATTCCCCATTTTCAATGCTTGCATCACTTTTCATAAAAAAAACAACAACCCTTTTTATAGTTAAACATTTACTCCAGTTTAATAAATGTCATGTAAACCCTGAACATCCTGGCACTGGAATAACTACAAAGAGCATTACTTGACAGGTTTTGAAATACATTGGCCACGCCCACAAATGACGTAACTGACAGTGATTGGACTGGGAACATACCCACGCCCCTTTTGCTAACAAGCCACGCCCACTAGCTAGGCAAGTTCTGTGGGTGAAGTTAAAAGCGGCAAGAAAAACCCGTTCCCCCCCTTCACCTGTGGAAAGACACGCGGCCCCTGCTGCCCTTTCCTTGCCGATTGGTGCAATTCGGCGCCGCGCAGCAGATAACCATGACCAAGCCCCTCCGCACACCGTACAACAAGATGTCGGCTCGGCTGCAGCCACCGCAAACAGTCACGCAGCCACGTCCGTACAAAAACATGGCGTCGCCCTTTCAACCGGAAGCGACCCGTCCGTACGGAAAACAACAACAACAACAAAAATGTTTCCTCCCACAAACTGTTATCTACAATACATTATCATCACCGGGGGGTAAAATCAGGCGGATTGGGTGACCTCCTTATAGATAATGAAGAAATAACGACATAGAAACACCATCCCTTATTCCGTACAGCAACATGGCGGCTTACAGCTGGCTGGGAACGCTTCCGTATTTGCATGCATTCCCCCAGGGCTGGGAAGCGAGGCTGCTCGCAGTTGGCTGCCCCCGGCTTCCGTAGAGGCAGTGATTGGGATTGGTTTTCTGCTTGGTGTTCGTTATAAGTGGGTGAAGTAGGAGGAATGATGGACGCAGGTGGGTCCCTGTGGTGGTTGACAGCTGTGCAGGTTACTGGGAATAACATGGGGTCAGGACTCACACACAGGGCTGTCTAACTCAGTGTCAATTATACCATATAGGCCAGACTGGTCACATTAACAGCATGTCTGATCTGGGAAGGCTTCCAGCTAAGCTCCTGCTTCAATAACTAACCAGTTAGTGTGTCACAACTTATCATAGCTGGTGCTGTGTACTATGGCTCACACTGGGCTATTATTATTATTATTATTTATAATGGGCCTATACCAAGGGTCCATCAATGTAACTTATTCAGCATTAAATCCTAGACACTTTTATTTATTTATTTTTTTAAAATAAAATAAACATATGGAATAGTAAAAACTGCGCCCTTCTCGTATTGTCTTCGTTTCTAAAAAAAAAATATCAATAATTTGTCTCTTCTAATTTCAATGTTAATGCTGATTTTAGCAATATTAAAAAAAAGAAAATGTATGTACATTTTGTGTAATCTGGTGTTATGATGCTTGATGTAAACCTGAAAACTTTAAATACAGCTTTTAATTAATTAAATTAGACATAGGGAATGTGTGCCTAGACACTTATAAAAGTTTTTTTTTATAGTAGAACTGCACAGCATATATTTGTGTGGATATGTGTAGGAAAGCTAACAATTATATATATTTGAGGTTGAAAATAAAATGTTTTTTTGAAAGAGGTAGCTTTTTTTTTTTTTTTTGAAAGAATTATTCAGACCGTTAATAAGACCGTGTGTTTTAACACCTATATTTTATATGTAAAAAGATGACACACTTTTAGTCCTAATTTGGTAACTGCATATAATTTTTATTTACCACAGCAACCCTCACCTATGACACGCTGCGTTTTGACACCCCAGATTTTCCTGAAACAGCAGAACCTGTTTGGGTACTGGGTCGGAAATACAGTGCATTGACAGGTACTGATCTCTAATTAACTCTTAATAGGTGTAGTTACTAAAGTGAGCATTGATGGGATTTAAAAGTGATTTTCTAATGTAAGGTCAAAATAGCCAAATTGGTGAAAAAAAATGTCTTAAGTTGTTTGTGCTTCCAGTTCAGCTAATTTGGTCTAAAATATATTTACTTTGAATTCCCAAAAATACTCACTTCAGTTAAATAACCCTGCTAATATAATTAATATATTTTTGTTCTTTTGCATCTCTCATACTTTTGACTATTAACTGTCATAAGAAATCCATGACCACTACAAACCATCCGAAGCTTTCCCTATGATCCTATATCCCTAAATATTCTCAATTTTTGTATTTCTGTCCTATAGACTCTCATGTCTTTCATCCCTAACCCATAACAAGTTACCATTCTTCCAACACACCATCTATCATTGTTCTCTTTTCACCATTTTTCATTAATCACATCCACATTTCCTTTTTGTTTCTACCTTCATGTTGTCTTCTTTAATGCATTATCCTTTTCTCTAATCTATCTACTTGTTTGTCTCTCTTAACATACATCTGCCTTAATCGTGTGTTCTGTTAGCTTTCATTACATTTATTTCCACATTGGTCTGCCTTCTATCCTTGTTCTTCCGTTACCAATGTACTACTTCAGCTTGTCTTTCATTGCAGAAAAGGATGAGCTGTTGAAGGATGTCACATCCAGGCTCTGGTTCACTTACAGAAGAAATTTCTCAGCAATTGGTGGGTAGGAACTAATACAATAATTTTTTTCATTATGTTAGAGTTGTGTATGGCCATTTACAGAGTTAAGCTGTGTATGCCTATCTAAACCTTTCCTGTAAGGTGCTGCCTTTTTTCAGCTAGTACATTTGTTGGTGTTTGTATCTTTTTTTCAGTCTTGTTACCCTCTTTATGGTCAGTGACAAGCATAATAATCTGTTCTGTCATTGAATGACCCTTTCGTGTAATGACTACAGTACCGACAATGCTAACTCTGCAAGGTATATTCCCTGTTTATGTAGTCTTTGGTCATTAAGCATTTATGAAGATGGAGGGCCAGTCAATGTTGGCGCATAATCATAAAGTTAGACATTGTTTTATTCCATTTGTTCCAGGAAAAGACCACTAGTGTCTCATCTGCATATATGAGCAGGAAAAAAAAAAGAGAGCAGGAAACTTTTATTTTTATTTTTTATAAGTTTATTTTTTTTAAATCTATATTCCTGATTTATTTATATATTCTATTTTTAATTTTTTTATTCTGACTAGGAGGCACAGGACCAACCTCGGACACAGGCTGGGGTTGCATGCTACGCTGTGGACAGATGATTTTTGCGCAAGCTCTTCTTTGTCGGCATATAGGACGAGGTAAACCGGTTTGGTCTAGTATTCCCAGATTAGAGGGACATATTGAACATTGCAGGATATATTAAGATAGGAGCATCTAAATATATAGTTAATTTAGATCTCTCCGGAATCTAGGGAAAGGTTATGACTAAATATAAACGTTCACAAGCAAATATTAGTTGCATATAAATGTTTTTGTTCACAGATGTAGGTCCTTAATTGAAACACATGACCGTACTGTATTTATTTGTGATTCATCTTGGGAGTTGCCAGTTGAACTACTGTTTATTTCCTTCCTATGATTTATTAAATATACACTGCAGGATGTACTCAAGCCATTATTTTGAAATTAATTATATAGATCATATATTTAAAATGAAAATTGATATATCGCATTTATGTGTTAGGAAACCCAGGTTGTGTAGTCAGGCTGCGAGCTGTCCCAGTGGGTTTCTTGGAGTTGTAGTTTGGTTTCAGCTTTAATACTATAGAAATCTGTAAGGTGAACTACAACTTGTAGAAACCTACGAGTGAACTTCTACTGCAAAATTATTATTATTATTTTTTTTTTTTTTAAGATTAATTGAAAACAAAACCACCAATCGAGCATATGTAACTGTAACCTAATCTGCAATTTGCAAGCACTGGTGCTTTTAGAGTGAACATATTTTCCCCAGTCTGTTTGCAGATTATTGGTATGATCTGAACTAAATCTTTACTAAGTTATAGTTGTGGTCAGATACAATAAGCAGAGTTATAGTAATAGTGGTATAAGTCGGTTGTGGTGTGCCGGAACCGATATTTGGGTAGGCCTGTAAAAGATGGCCCACCAAGATGACTTGCTTAATAAAGGGAGTGGTAGGTGGGCTGAACCAGCTGGTCTCAGCCCAGAGGAAGTAGAGGTCTTTGTATTTATAGGCTGCGTAACTCCTCCCACAACTACAGGCTTTGCTTAGCGGCTTATCCTTCTCATTTATGGGAATGTGTTATTTCTCATTTCAGTATTGGAAAATGCTATTGCTTAGCCTTTCTATTTAAAAGGTGACTCAATATAGGCCCCACCATAGACCCATGGGTCTATGACTCACACTATATCCAATGGCTCCTATTAACTGTAGCATGCCCTTCTATTGTTGGAGGGAGAGAGAGAGGGTATGTATATGTGATATATATATTCCTTTTTTTTTTTTTTTGTCTGAGCGTGTGTGTATATGTATATATTTTCTATGTATGTGTGTATATATAATATTCTACACACAGTTTATTCAGATTCTTTCTGAATGCAGTAAAATACAGAGATATATCCTTAACCCCTTAAGGACACATGACATATGTGACATGTCATAGAAACATAGAATGTGACGGCAGATAAGAACCATTCGGCCCATCTATTCTGCCCAATTTTCTAAATACTTTTATTAGTCCCTGACCTTATCTTATAGTTAAGATAGCCTTATGCCTATCCCACGCATGCTTAAACTCCTTTACTGTGTTAACCTCTACCACTACAGCTGAAAGGCTATTCCATGCGTCCACTACCCTATCAGTAAAGTAATACTTCCTGATATTATTTTTAAACCTTTGTCCCTATAATTCCCTTTTATTCCAGAAGTTTGGTCCTTAAGGGGTTAAAGGGACACTGTAGACACCCAGACTACTTTATCTGATTAAAGTTATCTGAGTGCAGTGTCCCTGTTCCCTTAACCCTGCAATATAAAATCTAAAGAGACAGCCACTGCCAGCACTTCCTGCAGTTTCACAGAGTCAAGCTCTGTGAAATGACACTGGATGTCCTCACGCGGAGGTCCAGCGTGTTGGAAAACCCCCATTGAACAAATGCTTTCCTATAGGTAAGGAATAATGCGCAGAGCGTTTTCTGTGCATGCACATTAGGTTTCCCCCATTGGCTGATGCCAGAGGAAGAGGAGCATAAACCAGCACAAGGGACAGCAGAACTGGAATCAGATAATCGTTTGTTTAATGGGTTATTTATCCCTTTTATGGTGAAGGGAAGAGGGGGTTAGGGGGGAGACATGGGGCAGAGGGACACTATAGAGTTGGCAATAAAGCTTTGTATTCCTAACACTGTAGTGTCATGTTTCAGTATTCTTATAAAGATATAATCAAAATATACCATAGGACATAGCAGGGACTACTTTGTCTTAAGGTAGACCCTGTGTATATGTGTTATCACTGCTAGATTAACAATCTGTATGACTGTATTTATCTCCCTTCATTGTCTGTAAATATACAATTTATCCTGGTGCCTCTTGTTTGTAGATTGGAGGTGGGATAAACAAAAGCCCCATGGAGAATACCTCAACATCCTAACTGCTTTTCTGGACAAGAAAGACAGCTACTATTCAATTCATCAGATCGGTGAGAGTTTGTGTGTAAAATTGCACCTGCGTGAAATAATGTTTGCAATGTTTGTGTGTTAAAAACCCAAAACAGCAGAACTCATGTGACATAAGAAAAATAGTGTCAGGCACTCAAATTTAGATATTAAACTAGTGTGCACCTGACCTCTGGATCTGCAGTGAGTATATAGCAAAAATACAAATCTGGTCCAGAACGCCTTCTTATAATGAGCATCTTTTTAATTGCTTCCAATAACCGTCAAATAAACATTTTGGCCACTCCATTGGCTTTTGTCAAGCCAAATTCACAGGTGTCTTACCTGCTGGGGACTACCTTTTGGTCATCCATGGATTAGCACATCTTAATAAAATGGTTTATATTTGTTATTACAGCCCAGATGGGAGTTGGAGAAGGCAAATACATTGGACAGTGGTACGGGCCAAACACAGTGGCACAAGTACTCAGGTACATGCAATACGACTGTCATCTCAAATAAAATCCCTACCTTCTACCTTTACGGTCACCATTTAGTTCATTGTGTTTAATTTCAGTCATAATTTTGTGTTGCTTCTTTAGGAAGCTAGCTGCTTTTGACCAGTGGAGTTCCTTGGCCGTCCACATAGCAATGGATAACACAGTGGTAATTGAAGAGATAAGTAAGTACTTGTTGGGATCAGTCGATACTTCTATTTTGCAGAATTCAGATTAGCCTAGAGCAGGGGTAGGCAAACTTCTACAGTCCAGATGTTCTAGTCTACATCTACCTTGATGCTTTGCCAGTTATCATTTATACTGTGACTGTATATGTGTGTGTTTGTGTTTTTTTTTTTTTTTTTATATAATATAAATTGATTATTGCTTAATTCAACTTCTATTCAAACATTCTGTTGACTATATATTTTTTGTACAATATCTACTTCTTATACCCAGGGCCGGATTAAGAGCACAGTGGGCCTGGTGCTGACAATTATGATGGGCCTAATTACGGAATCTTATCGACCAAAAACACTAAAACAATCATACCTCCCAAGCGTCATGTATCTGATGGAGATGATGCTGGAGGGACACTCATAGAATGCAGCTATAAGAAAACACATACTCTATGCTAATCCCTCTCTAATTTATGATTTCATCTTTCAAGTAAATCCATAACCCCTAACAGCAGTGTCCAGTGAAGCAGGAAGTCAATGGGCAGGGTAAAAGGGTGTGCCACTGGCGCGAATCACGTGACAAGACCTGCCAAAAGGGGTGAACATGCCCAAAAAGGGGAACGTTTGTCCAAAGAATTGGAAGGTCAGCCTGGCATGAATGCATGTCAGGCTGCCTGCCAATCCTGCAGGTTGTCCAACTAAGGGCATACTATGCAGGCAGCACCTTGAGCTTGACATAAATGCGTCTAATGATGCGCTCACTCCATTCTTTCAAAGGACTGTCCCCTAGCACACTCTGGTCCACTTGTCTCCTTACCTTCTTACTAGCAGGCAGAAGTTCCTGGTATATAGTCTGAGACAGAGAAAAGATGTCTGTAGTGAGTGTAGAAGAAAGGGGACATGCCACAGTGTTAGAGAGACCAACATCTGCTTATTGTATTTGTTCTGGTAAGTAGAATCATTCCATTCAGGCTTTTTGCAGTAACACTGTCTTTTCAGAGAAAATAACTCCACTGGCTGCTCCTTAGATGGCTGCTAGAGGTGCTTCCTGGGGCAGTACTGCCTAGTGTGCAGCACTGCCATTCAGTGTCTCCACCCTCTGCATGCAGACACAGAACTTTCCTCATAGAGATGCATTGATTCAATGTATCTTTATGAGGAGATGCTGATTGGCCAGGGCTGTGTTGGACTTGTGCTGGCTCTGCCCCTGATCTGCCTAGTTGATAGTCTCAGCCAGTCCTATGGGGAAGTATTGTAATTTGCTCAGACCACCACTTCTGAGCCAGCAGCTGCAGAATTTAATACAAGTAATATTTTACTATATTTAGGGAGGCAAGAAGGGGCCAGGGTGGTGGTTTAAACATAATAGGGTCAGAAATACAGGATTGTGTTCCTGACCCTATAGTGCTCCTTTAAGCAAGAGTATGTGAAGAGTAGTTAAAGTTGCCACCTTTCTTGGAAAAAAATACCAGCCTTAATAATTTGTATAATAAATTAGTTATGCATGACATCACATGATGTAAATCACAAGGAGTGACATCAGAGAAAATTCTATAAAATCACCAAACTACTCACAGTTTGATTCTGCTGTATAGATGGATTGCTCCCAGTGTCTCCCTGTCTCCCAGTGTCTCAGTCTCGCAAGTCACCCAGTGTCTCAGTGTCCCTATGTATCACAGTGTCAGTGTCCCCATGTCCCCTAGTCTCCCAGTGTCTGTGTCCCCATTTCTCCCAGTGTCCCAATGTCTCAGTGTGTCCCCATGTCACTAGGATACTGGGGACACTGAGAGACCCGGGGACACTGAGACATTTAGGGAAACTGGGAGAAATGGGGACACTGAGACACTAGGGACACAGACACTAGGAGACATGGGGACACTGAAACATTTGGGGACACTAAGACACTATGGACAAAGACATGGGAACACAGACACTGGGAGACTAGGGGACGCTGGGAGACTAGGGGACACTGGCTGGGAGACAGACACTTGGGGACACTGGGAGACATGGGGACAGTTGTGGACATGTGGACACTGGGACATATAGGGACACTGGGAGACATGGGGACACCAGGCACACAGACACTAGGAACACACTGGGAGACATGGAGACACTGAAACATTTGGGGACACTAAGACACTAGGGACACAGACACTGGGAGACTAGGGGACGCTGGGAGACTAGGGGATACTGGGAGACTAGGGGACACTGGCTGGGAGTCAGACACTTGGGGAGACATGGGGACAGTTGTGGACATAGACATGGGGACACTAGGCACACTGAGAGACATGGGACACAGACACTGGGAGACTTGGGGACACTGAGACACTAGGGACAATGGCTGGGGGACATAGTGTCTTCATGTCCCAATGTCTCCCAATGTCCCTATGTCTCACAGCGTCCCCATGTGTCTCAGCATCCCCATGTGTCTCAGTGTCCCTGAGTGTCTCAGTGTCCCCAGGTCTCCCAGTGTCTCAGTGTCCCCTAGTGACAGTGTCCCCTAGTGTCTGTGTCCCCTAGTGTCTGTGTTCCCATATGTCCCCAAGTGTCTCAGTGTCCCCATGTTTTCCAGTGTCCCCAAGTGTCTCAGTGTTCCCAGGTCTCCCAGTGTCTGTGTCCTAGAGTCTCAGTGTCCCCTAGTGTATGTGTCATCATGTGTCCCCTAGTGTCTGTGTCCCCTAGTGTCTAAGGGTCCCCATGTGTCCCCTAGTGTCTCAGTGTCCCCTAGTGTCTCAGTGTCCCCATGTGTCCCCTAGTGTCTCAGTGTCCCCAATGTGTCCCCTAGTGTCTCAGTGTTCCCATGTGTCCCTGCTGCCTTTCCCCCCATCCCTCACTTACCTGACCTGTAGAGCTGCTGTCTGGACTCTCTGTGCTGTGTAGCTTCTCCCCCACGGGTCAGTGAGTAGTAGAGAGAGGCAGGGATATTCTGTAACTTCCTATCCCTGCCTCTCTCCACACACAGTGACCCCTACTGGCCGGTGCTGGTATTGCAGAGTAATTTCCATTTATTCTGAGAAAATTAGCTGCATTTGTATTGCTGGTATTACTGCAATACCGGCAGGGCCAGGCAGCCTCAAATACCGTCTGTGCCATTAAAATACCAGTCAGGTGGCAAACCTAAGAGTAGAGTGTAAAAAAAAAATTTACAAAAAAATTTTTTTTTTTAAATGGGCCTATTCCATGGGCCTGGGCCTGGAGCTGCAGCTCCATCAGCCCCTATGTTAATCCGGCCCTGCTTATACCCACTGCATGCTTACTGTGTTAGAAGTTATCATAGCTCTCCTTGGGACTATTAAAAAGTGTGGACTTTTACTAAATGCTTGCTGTCTGCAGGGAGGTTGTGCAAAGCCAGATGTGCAGATAGTTGTGGGGCTGGCCTGCTGTGTAATGGTCATTCAGAGACATCAGATGTTTTGTGGAAACCTCTTGTACTACTTATACCACTACGCTTGGGACTCAGTGAGATCAATGAAGCATATATTGCAACATTAAAGGTATTTCTTTCTTTCTTCCTCCATAAATTTAAAACCATTTATGGGACTAATTCAAATGCTTTTTTTTTTTTTTTTTACATTGCTTATTTATTTTAACAACCAAAGTGACTTGGGTCAGTGCAAATATGTATACAGCTACAGGTGGATAAATAGATCACTGCTCTTATTTAATGTACATAAAGCCAGGTAAATTGTGTTTGTAACGTTGGACTGTTGTATTGTAAGTGCATTATATCCTCATTAACCCCTTAAGGACCAAACTTCTGGAATAAAAGGGAATCATGACATGTCACACATGTCATGTGTCCTTAAGGGTTTAAACTGTCGTGATATTGTTCTACCCGTGGTGTTTGTAGACTGAGAAAATGCACTTTTAAAATACATTACAGTAAATTTAATGATTTGATTGAAACTAATGGTGTATGCAATATGATGTCAAATATGACAGTTCAGTTTTATTCTGTACATTTTTTACATTTGTTAGCCTTATAATACACCTGATACACATAGTAACAGATGTAATCTATCTTTGTCAAGAGAAGAATAGCCACACTTGGTTTCAGTGAGTGACTGGACCCTTGCTTTCTCTGTGTACAAAAAAATAATTATTATTCTGGGACAGAATCCATAGGGTGCTAATTGCACAGCACAGGGCCCAGATATAAGGATCACTTTTTTACTATAACTGCTATTTCGGACATTTGCAAGCTGCTCCGGTATAACTATTTGCAAATTAAAACTGGTGTTTTTATGAGTTTTCTTTATATTATGTAATGTAATATAATCATCCCCGTTTAAAGTGATATTTTGAACAGAGACCTGTTTTAAAAACCTGAATGCAATTGCTGTAATGGCTATACAGCTGTATTAACTATACATATAACAATTGTTTTTCAAGAAAGTCATACTGAGATGGACCCTTTTCCTCATTTCTAAACATTCTTCACCCATTTAAAAAAAAATAGTGCTATTGGAGTCTGAGAGGTCAGGTTTTATTTGCAAATTGACACATTAAGGCTCCTCACAAATATTCCTGCTAGAATAACTAATCTTCATTTCCAGTGAGTTGTTATGGTTTTCCTGATTGTAAGTAAACCAAGTAGATTAACACGGTTGATTGGGTTACGGAGTCTGACCTTGGAGCTGAACAGACGTGAGTGGCACAAGCTCCTGCCGAGCGGGCGGAAATTGGGGTAAAATCGGCGGCTATAAAGCCCACAGCCTTACAGGGGTGCACTACCCACACTGGGAGTGCACCATCAAATCATTTGATGCCTCATAGAAGCCCGTCGGAGCCAGGGAACCGGGAAACCACGTGCGGCCTTCTGGGGATGGAGCTGGGGGGAGGCGGCCGCTCTCCTAGTGCCGGACCCAACAAACAACACTGATAGTCTCCTAACTCCCCCCTTCGGACCGGTGGGGATTATCCCAGTCCCCACTGGAGGCCCTGCTCCCACCCTACCAAACACCGTGCACAGCAGACACGAGGTGGCGCCCAGACCACACAAGATGGTGGAGGCCCCTTCACAGACCTCGCCAACCCTCAGCCAGACAAATGAGACACGCTTCGACTCCTTAGACTCCAGGCAGGAGGCGATATTCCAGGCATTCTGGGACAAGCTGCAAGCGCGTTTCAGTATCAACCGATCCGCACAGGGGACAGAGAAAGGCTCACAGGGGACGGCGGTAAGGCTTCCCACTGTCAGAGCACCTACCCAAGCGACTCACTACGCAACCCACCGTCTGCCTAGGCCGAAAGCCACCAGAGGCATGACCTCAAGACTTCAACCACACAGGGGGAAGATCAAACGCTGCTGGCGGCAGACATCATCTAGACCTTCCACCTGCCCCTTGGGGGGCATGGACTTGGCCACACAAAGGTACCGAGCCCGTGGACGAAAAACGTTGGCTTTTACAAAGGCCAGAGGAACTTGCTTGTTTGTCGCCCTCCTGCGTGCCATGACCAGCACGCGGACCGCCTACGCCTCCCGATTACAGGAGTGGGCTAAACATGAACTTGCTCACCATTGCAGGGGCTGGGGCTCAGTACTCAGGACTCCATGACATCCACAGAAGCCACCTATCTTGATTTAACTGAGGACCGGTGGGTCATGAAGCTCTCATACTGAACTGACCTACTGGTTGTGACCCGCCAGCAGCCGCCATAACCATACGACTTGCAGTAGTTTAACAAACGCAGAAACTGATACCAGTGGCTAATTAGTCCTAGCCTAAATATTATGTACTCAACCATGTTGTTTAGCTTGTCATGTAGACTACCTTATGCGGAGGTCAGGCTACATACGTTTTCACTCCACAATTTACCATTTACATCCACCGCATAACACGCCATGACCAGCACACCTAGCACATCATGTTTGTCGGGTTTACTATACGCTGAAGCCTCAATAGCGCATGGGTACGTGGGGACTCAGTGGCTTAAATATTTTGTATGTTTTCAGTTACTCCTGAACGGCACAGTTCCTAGTTTACCTAGGTTTATGCATACATGCCCAACTAGTCAAACCTAACTTCAGCTCTGGCGAACATTAGACTTGCACACCCAGGACTGTTATGACAGTCCTGTTTTGTACCTAAGAGCTATGCACACCAGAATAGCATGCAATTCTAGCACAATTTATTTTATACTAATTTGTTACCTTGCCTGATACCTCTAACCTATTGTGCTGAACTAGCAAAATGCCATATAACGCAAAACTCTTGAATATATATACCTTGTTAAACAGAGTGTGTTATTAATCTTGTGAGTAGAATACTGTTTACCATATATGCTATTTAAGGCTTGACTACTCTTATTAACATTAACTAAACTGTATATACCTGTTTAACCTGCACAGTAATACATTGTTGCAACATATATAAAATAGGCTGATATATGCGGGAGTTCCAGCATCGATATTGCTCTCTCCATGTTATGCATGCCATATGTTCTATGTGCACTAACTCTTTGCTTTATTTTCTGTATTGTTTTATCATATGCCTCAATAATAACAAATATTGACAACAACAAAAAATGGTTCATTTACTAAAGTAGGAATTGTGGAGAATGTTCAAGGGGATTGTAAATGTAATTTTGGCTAAATTTGCAATTTCCTTGTTGGTTCACCACAGTGCCCCATTTATTAAAAATCCCTGATGGCCTACTTGTGCTTGAAGGATTATAGGTGAAATATTTTTGATATTACTATGATGTAGGCAAGTTTGTCAGACCAAACAAACAAAAAGTTCTATTTACCTTTCAGTTAAATGGGGTTAAATTTCATTTACCAATAGCTGACTTGCGTCCATATTTTTTGCTTCCATCATTAAATGGTCATGCAGGAAATTTCAGAAGCGCTTGTAACACCTATACACTTGTGTGTGTGTGTGTGTGTGTGTGTGTATATATATATATATTTTCTTGTCTCTCTTTCACAGCACTGCTTCATGGTACCCCAATCGTTAGGAGTTATTGGTGGACGGCCCAATAGTGCTCATTATTTCATAGGCTATGTAGGTAGGTATTTGTTTAGATGAACTAGCTCCACACACTATGTCCGTGTTTCTCTGTGCAGCATGTGAAAAATTTGTGATTTCATTTAAATGTTAAAAGATGGGTAATTAAAGGGATTGTTGTAAGAGTCTGAGAAACACAATTGGCATGTTTGTCATTGAAGACGTAAGGATTTAGTGTGATATATATAGTGATATAGTGTAAAAGGAGAGTATAGTGTTTTGGCAAATTGGATGAAATTGATTAAATATATATTACCATTCACCATTCAGGTAGAAGTTTAAATATCTAGGCAACTCTAAAGGGAGCTGGTCCCTTTCATGAAAAAACACATTTTGCAGTGCTCCCCTCATCTTGCCTTCTATAATGAATATTCTATTCTAGAGAATTAGAAAAAAGTGACGATCTACAGCACATATAAAATATGTATCTAATCTTATGGTTTTTTTCATTGTTGTTTTTTATACTTTCAAATGTCACAAAAAATAAATGCCGAGTAGATTTCTAATGCACAGCTGCAAATAGTCTGTTTCTGTCAGTACTTTACTCTGCATGTTTAATGCGTTAACATTCTGGTTTTTTTTTTTCTCCCTGTATGCATCTTTGTGTGCTTGTCTCCACAGCCATTATTTGTTTTGTCCCACTGTCCCTAGACTTTGTTTCAGGTAGTGAGATGTACGATGTGCACGATCATCAAAATGATGTAAACTAACATTTTACGTTCAATTAGTGATTTACCTTGGCAATATGGAATCAGTGCCATTATGGTTTTGGATAAATCTTAATGAAAAGACTGGTTTATAAATGTCTCCGGAACCCATGACTAGTATTCTTTTCCTACAATACATGCTTCATCGTTTTCCACATTGCTGAGTGTTTACATCATTCCATTTTTCCTACAGGGGAGGAATTGATCTATTTGGACCCC